TAATTTGCAGTTCTCTAATGACTAAGGATTTTGGACATCACAATGCTTGTTAATGATAGATGGATGCATATCTCTGATGAAGTATATGTTCAAATTCTGTCCATTTTAAAATAAGGTTGTTTTGCTATCATTGAATTTTAATAGTTAAAAAGGATATTATAGATGCAGATTAGCAGATATTAATTTGCAGATCTTGTCTCCTAGTTTGATGGTTGTCTTTTCATTGAAAGAAAGATTATAGCTTCATTCATTTGAGCTAGCTTGAACATGGTTCTCTGCAATGCAGTGGACTGCTTGGGAGACACCTCGGAAGCCTATTGGTGGTATTGGCTTACACCTCAGACTTTACGATGACAGTAGGAAGAAATAGCCTGTGAAATGGCATAACATTTGCTTTCCTTAAAGGTTTCTGACAAGGACTAGCTGATGTCGGATCTGCTTCTGGAAACCAGATGTTAAGGAGTGAATACAAACCAAAAGGGTCAGTGAAACCAGAGGAGTGCACTGATACTCATGAGAATGCAGAGAAAATTTGTTCTGGAAGTGAGAATATAGCACAAGGATGGCTAGCCCATGCTACTTGTGAGTCTCGTGTGTGTGTGTGTGTGTGTGTGTGTGTGTGTGTGCACGCGCGCATGCACGCTGCTATTGGGGTTTGAACTCAGGGTCTGGACATTGTCCCTTAGCTTTTTCACTCAAAGTTGATACTCTGCCACTTAAGCCATACCTCCACTTTCAGCTTTTGGTGGTTAATTGAGGATAAGAGTCTCACAGACTTTCCTGCCTGGGGCAGGTTTTGAACTGTGATCTTTAGATCTCAGCCTCCTGAGTAACTAGGATTGTGGACATGAGCCACTGGTGCTAGGCTTGTGAGTGAGTCATTCAAGTTAAGTCTTGTTTTGCCTAAGAAAGCCTGGCTGGTAAAAGAGCTTAGGATTTAATACCACTGTGGCTTCTCGGTTCATGAATGCTTTTTTTCAAGCATGGCTGGCTAACATAAACCTGTGTCTGCCTCCTCTTTCAGCAGCCCTTCCTTACCTTTTCTTTGTGTGTTGTCACTATTTTCCTTCCTCAACAAATTATCTGAGAATCTCAGTCATACCATATTCCCTAAGTCAGGAGTTTAAAAATATATACCAGACTTCACCCATCTAGTCTATTATTAATTGGACAGATCACCATATTGTTTAAATTTCTGTATTAGCTGCTAAGACATTCTGATACTCATTCGGTGGTACACACATGTACAGTTCTTACTTCTGTTCAGTACAAGGAGTGAGCTCTTCTGGGTCATAGGATAGATATGTGTTCAGTTTTGAGAGATACGGTACACTAGTTTCTAATGGTTGTTCCAATTTCCACTCTCATTGTCAACAAATGAGAGTTCTGATGGTTTCACATCCTCATTTGCTGTTGTTTATCTTTAATTTTAGATATTTGGGTGATTATGAAATAGCATTGAATAGTAGTTTAAAGTCAATTTTGTTACTTATTTTTCTGCTTTTAATTGATTTCTATATTAATTTTCCTATGACCAGAGAAACTTTTTTTTATATATGTATGGCCCAGTACATGGTCTATTATTTTGGTAAGTATTCCATGTGCCCACAATGAAGATTTATATCTTGCCATTGTTGGGTATAAGTTGTATAAATGCCAGGTGAGTTAATTTTATTTTTTTGTCCTATTCAAATTTTAGAATCTGGATATGTAACATCAGTGTACTCCTGATTTGTTCTTTTGGATGAAACTCTTCAAATTTAACAACCATGCTTTGAGAAAGCCCAGAGTGGCCCAGAGGGAGAAATTACATGGAAAGACAATCTTGGGAGTTCTGGACAACAGCCAGGTGAGTCACAACATGAACTGTCACTCATGTGAAGATGCCTCTGTGATACCAGCCCTCAGTTGTTGAGTCACCCTCCTACTTGGAGTTGGCCCTTATCTTGAACCCCTTTCAGTTAAGGTTCTAGACATAGTAGAACAAAGATAAACTAGTCCCATTGTGCCTTGTCCAGGTACCAAGTTATGAACATAATAAATGGTTGACATAAAGTATTACTACATTTTGAAGTTAAAGCAGTAATGACTGGAAGAGTGTAATGTGTGTTTTCTAATGTTTGTTAACCTTTGTGTATTATTTTAAAGGTGTATCTCTTGTAAATAGCATCTAAAATTTAATGTACTTACTCATCTGCTAGAGTTTAAATCTACCATTCCACTTTTTCTTTATTATTTGTTATGGATTTTTTCTATATTCTCTTTTTCTTTCTTTATTTTAGATCATCAACATTTTATGATTGCATTATGTAGCTATGATTAGCTATGTGCTAGTTACATGTTCTGAGAAAATAGTAATTACACTATAAGTTACAACATGTTATATTAAACATGCATGTATTTTCCTACCCAAATACAGTCTCAGACAATCTTTCATTGAGCTGACAAAAGATGTTCCAGCTTAATTATTCAGGATTGAAAACCATCTTGGTAAGAACTAGAGTAATTTTTTTCTGGTCCTAGAATTTGAACTCAGGGCCTGGGTGTTGTCCTTGAGCTTTTTTTGCTCAAGACTTGTTATCTACCACTTGAGCCACAGCTCTACGCTACATTTGGGGGTTAATTGGGGATAAGTGTCCCACAGATTTTTCTGCCCAGGCTGGCTTTGAACCATGATTTTCAGATCTCAGCCACTTGAGTAGCTAGGAATACAGGCATGAGCCACTAGCCCCTGGTCTTTAAAGAGTTTTTGGAAGTTCATACTTGTACTCCTAGCTGCTTAGAAGGCTAAAATGAGAGGAGGTTGGTGTGAGGATAACCTTAGCAGAAAAGCTCTCAAGAATGCCCATCTGGTAGCTGGGCACAGTGGTACATAACCTATCATCCTACCTTTGTGGGAAGCAGAGACTGGGAAGATGATGGTTCTAGGCTAGCTCAGTCAGAAAAGTCCATGAAACTCCACCTCACCAGAAGGATCAGGGTGTAATGACTCATGCTTGTTATCCCAGCTACAATGGCAAGCCTAAAATAGGAGGATCATGGTCCAGGTACCTGTCTGGTGACAAAGCAAGGCCTGGGCTAGTTTGATTGTGGTCCTCTGCAATGCAGTAGACTGATTGGGAGACAACTTAAAAGCCTCTGTGGTTGTAATTGTTTACATAACAGACTTTACGATGACAGAAGGACGCATTAACCCATGCACAAAATGGCCAGTGATACCACTGAGGGCTATGAGCACCTGCCTAGCTAGCATGAGGCCCTGAGTCCAAATCACAGTACCTCCAAAGGAAAAAAAAAGATTTAGGGGGTGCTAAATTCCCTAAAACATCCCTGAGCCTCTAGATTTCCAGTAGTCTGTTAAAGCCACTCAGTCTTCAGAGAAGTCATGCTCTCTGTCCCTCTTCACTGTGGCTGTGGCATGGGCAAGGAAGAGGTCGAGGGGAGAGCTAGATGCCAAGAAGCATGACAACCAAGAGAGATCCTTCTAGAGAGCCACATTATGATTCAGTCTAGACTTCCCAGCATTGGGAACTGACACGCTCCACAGTGACATGACAGGCATTGTTTCCCATTCCTCCTTTGGTAGAGTGAGAGCTTTTGTTACAGTTACCCTGATCAGTCTGTGAGGTGTTGGCATTTGGGCCTGAGAGAGAATGCACACCTGCTGGAAAACCTGGCTCTGAACTACAATGCAGCAGTTGCACAACAACTTTAGAAACCATGCTTTTAATTGGTGAACACACAGGACAGAAGAACCTCAGTCTGGAGTCTCTGATCAGATAGGTCTCCCAGAACTTAGGTGAGAAACAAATGTTTATTGGGTATAACAACTAGCATGACTCCAAGTAATACAAAGAGCTGTCACACCATGCCCAAATCTAGTGCTGTCCTATCCAGGAGAGGGCAGGAGGGGAGGGACATGCTTTAAATCTTTCAATTCTGACAGATTTTCTAAGTGGAAACATAATGATGAGTTACAAGGCAAACTCTCCAAACTTCATGGGGTGAAGTACCTGACCCATGAATGATTAGCCTCTGGCTTTGTTTCTAACTCGCTCCAGTGAGGAAGCTTTAAACTCTGAGAGCGGGAGCCAGGGAGACCTCAGCTGTCTGAAGGAAATGAGTCAAGCAGAGTCATCAGTACTCAGAAGTGAGGGTTCCCTGAGATACTTTTGTTGGCTTTCCTTCCCTTTTTATTGATGAGATGTAGGCTCAAGAATATCGATGACTCTTCTGGAGTCATAGTTCTGGAGACAGAATTATGATTAGAAGTCAGGTCTCTGCTATCAGTTATGGCAGAGGAACAGGGACAGGCATATACATTGTTGCTTTTTCACAGTTATTTTAGCAGACAATAAGGATTAAATTTCTCTAGTCTCTTAGTTTTTCTTGAAAATCCAGGCAAATTGGTCACACTATATCATCATACATCCTCAAATGCTTTTAACAAAAGTTTTAAATTGCTTGTCATAACATGAAAGAGACGCTCCAGAAAGATGTTGATCCTACCCTGGGTACTCTGTCATTTGCCCCCCACCTTGCCACAAGCAGTTTGAAACAGAACCAGTTTGATTGTGGCTGGAAAATTATTTTAGTACAAGAGCCTGTACAATGGCCCCTGTGGGCTTCTTTTCTTCCTGGTCTCTTCTCTTAGATTCGCTAACTTACCATCCCCACATCCAACCCCATCCCAATGAAACAAGGACACTACAGGTGCCTCTGACAACTTCCTACCATCCTTCTAGTTTTAAGAGAGCAGCAGCATCTTTAGGAAATCTCCTTTGGCCCCTCCAAGTCTACTTGTTTCCTTCCCCAACCCATTGAACTGTATACCCAGAAGATATCAACATTCAGCAACCAGTCTGTGCCTTTGCCTCCTCAAGAACAATGGTGTTGATAGTATGGATAGATGGTGGCTGTGACCCATTCCTCACCATGCTCCAAGCCCCCTCCCTGGCCATGCCCAGAGGCCTGGATGGAACTCAGCACTGCACACTTACTGGCTGGGGGAAGGGCTCCGGAGATAGCGGGCCTGCACTGCCCGCACATCGGCCTCATCCTCCTCGCTTGGAACCACCTGCTCCTCCTCTAGGTCTCTCCCGGTCGCCATGACAGCTTGTCAGCCCCTGTTAGTTTGGCAGTAGAAAGATGGTTAGAGAGGTGGGTTCCATAGGCTTCTTGGGGCAAGACGGGATGTCAGCAGTGGCACCAGGAATGAGGAGGTGATCACTTGTAACCTCCCAGTAAGTAAAGGATCCACAGGGAAAACCCAATCCAACCTGGTCTAACTTGTAAACAGGACACCAAAAAAATGGCGTTGTATTAAAGGACAACTAGGGTGTTAGCAAGAAAGTAGTGAGGGGAACTAAAAGTTTGAGTAAATATAGCTGAACAGGTTAAAAAGCTCAATCCTCTAGACTTGGAAAGTTTTCTGCTGAAATCACAGGGAGCGCTTCTGAGTCCTGTAGGTGCGCATAGGTGTGCATGCATGCACATACACACAAATACACACACACACACACACCACACTAATGTGTACACCTTTCGTTTCTACTTGAGGAGGTAGCTAGCCCTCTTTGGTGATTCTAATGAAGGCCATGACCATCAAGGCCTGTGGCTCAGGCGTCAACTGGAAATTTGAGGTCCCCAGCAGCTGGTCCCAGGCATTGAGGCTGGTCCCTGGCATTCAGGGCAGAGATGCTGCCCCTTTGTTTGTAAGTCAAGGCTCACTAGGACAGATTAAGACAAAACACACTTACCACTGCCTGTGTTCACACCAAAGCCCGAGGATCTGGATAAAATGGCCAGAAACTCCAACCAGTCAGAGGGGACAGAAAGCTCTCCTCTCTTCAGGGCTTCTTCTCAGAGGGGCAGGACAGCTGTCAGGAAACCTTATCCACTCTCTAAATTTAGCCTTTGGCCCCATAGGCTGGCAGATCTGTGGGAGAAAGGAATGCAGAACCCAGCCTGAATGCAGGCTCACTTAACTGTTTCCCTCCTGTCTGGTTCATTGAACACCGACTATCAGCAGTGGGATGGGAAGAGGTTCTCATTTTATAGATGGTTTCCTCTGGGCTCTCTCTACATAAAATTGTGCTTGGCATTACCTTCTAAAATCACTTTGAGAAAATAGTCTAAATCAATAAACCTAGAATAGTAAAGAAACTTACCTTAGCCTCATGGAAGCTTAGAGATGCCAAAGGGGAGGGAAATATTCCTCCCCCCCAAAAAAAACCCCACCAAAAATAACAAGAGTATAGCCTGAAGAGGGCCTTTTTGGTAGACAGTAACAGGGAGAGCCTTGTTGGGACCAGGATGACATTTCTTTTGACAAACTTGTTTGTGGAGCAAACATTGGGATACTATGCTTTCTCTCTACATCCTCTCTCTCTCTACACTCACAGGCCCCGGTAAGGGTCATCAGTCAATCTGAGGTGTTACAAAAATTCAGTGAGCTTCTTAAACTTCTTATGAGCTCATGATTTGTCCCATCTCTCTACCCTACTCCTTGTTACCATCCTTCTGATCATGACAAAGCCTAGTAACCCAATAGTTCTCTCCTTTTCTCCTGAACACTCTATAATTATCTTTTCACCAATCCATCCATCCATTAGTCCACCTATCAGCAGGTATTTGCTGATTACTTTATTGGGCACTAGACACTGTACTTGACCAAATTTAGTAAGACACATAGTTTTAATGTTGTCTTTTTTCCTAGCTGTGTGGAACAATACCCAGCACATCATATCATTATGTTATAACTGGCTGAATGAATGAGCTCACAGTTTATTAGGAGGAATGAGACACAGGCCAAAAATAACTCAAGTGTAAGACAGAATATAGTTAGGGTCCTAAAAGAGATCCAAGTGCTCAGTGAATTCAAAGAAGGGAGAGAGATTCTCTGACAGAAGAATTGGGAAAGGCTTTCTGGGAGAAATGGAGATAGATGAGCTGGCTTTTTAAGAGCAAGCTACATTATAACAGCTGATATAACAGGGAAAGGAATTGTGGGGGACACACAGCATGGACAAAGTTGTGAGGGAAAAAAGAATGAGTTCTGGGTGAAAAGAGATGTCTAAAACTGGGCAGAGCATAAGTTACACATTTTGGAAGATAATTTTTGGGAGGTAGACTATGTTGGAGAACAAATACTAGAATATCTTACAGTCCAATTGAAGGAACAGGGTTTCATTTTCTTTCTATAGGCAGTCATAGAACCAGAATAGAAAAATAACATCACTGGCACTGTGTGTAGGGCTACCTGGCCAATGGTGTTATAAAATGCTGAGACTGAAAAATTATTACATACAATGGGGAAAGTCAATAAGACAACTAAGAAAATAGAATAAAACACACTTGCTTTTGTATGTCAACCAAAGTTAGTAGCCACCAAGCCTTGATCAAATAATTTGTGTGGGAAATTTTGAGCTTACAATGCAAAGAAATACTGGGGACAATATGTGAGGTGCTTACTGAATCCAAAGGTTGGGCTTTATTTTTTATTGTAATATACAAAGAGCTGCTAGAAGTCAACAAGCCATCTAGGCACAGTGGCTCATTCATGCCTGTAATCCTAGCTACTTGGGAAGATATCTGGAGGCTCATGATTCAAGGCCAGACCAAGCAAGAAGTTATCAAAACCCCATTTCAACCAGCAAACCAGGTTGGTGGCACATTCCTGTCCTCCCATCTACTCAGGTAGATCCATTGGCTAGACCAATCTTTTTAGTTTTTTGAAAATAACTAAAGCTAAAAAGGCTGGGGATGAGGCTCAAATGGCAGTGTGTCTGCCTAGGAAGTCTGAGATTCTGAGTTCCAACTTTAGTGCCATAAAAGACAAAAACCCAAAGAAATAATCAAGCTAAAACCCAACAACCTCCAAAAAATATGAGCAAATGAACTAGTTAGACTTAGAAAAAGAACTATCATACAGTAGAATGTCATGACCCCATAAACAGAAGTTGGTAGGTCACAGTATAATGTGTGGATACAAGAAACTCCTTAAACTATTTTGTTAGGTGAAAAAAAATTGTTTTAAAAGTTCAATAGCATAACAGTAGGTATACATATTTTATTTCACATATGGAGTATCTGTGGAAAAGACTGGTACCAGTGGCTCTCCTGGAGAGTTTCCTACAGAGTTTATCACTTTATTATCAGAATGAGCAATATGTTGATTCTACCCTGGACATGGGACTTTGGGGCTGAAAACTGAGACAGTCTCAGGAAATGGAGACAAGTTATGATCTTCTTTGTTTGCTTATGTATTTGTTACTTCATTGGCTAGATTACAACTCTGAGGGCAGGGCTTCTTATCTTCTTCATAACAGAGTCTCTGTCTTTGTGTGGTGGGGACTGTGGAAGAGGAGGGAGTTGTAGAAGAATAGATCATAGTGGGTCTTGAAGTGTTGTAGAAATGTGGTCAACACCCTTCTTTTATTGGTTTAGAATCCTGCTTCCGAGATCATTTTCCTTTTTATGAGGAGGCAATAACTCACTGACAGTTACAAGCGAGGTCCACACCTTCGGGAGAGTCCAGAACTTTGTACTCTATCAAATATGAAGAAAGTAGGGGAGGTAACTGTCTCAAGTGGAAAGTAGGAAGGACTCCCCTTGGGACCTATGGTGGAGCAGGTCCAGCAGCGACCCAACCTCCTATGAGCTCACCTGCCAGTCTGGAGAAGGGGTGGAGCATATGGGGGGGGTCAGCCGGAAGAAGCAAAGAAAGAGAACTGCAGGTATCTCAGATTATTGTAGCTTTACCAGTCAGCCTAGACCTGTTGGTGCCTACCAGGACCAGGCTGGAATTGGGGCTGAGAAGGAGTGAGACCATGTTTGAGATGAGGCAACCTGTGCTGTGGACACTCTGTGCAGGTGAGTAGCCCTCCCCTGCTCAGTGCCCAGGGTTGGGTGAGACAGAGAGGTCAAAAACTGAAGGAAGCACTCCCCCCAGAACTTTTAAATGATTCCCCAGCAGCATTGTTACACCTTCTGGGTATAGCTACACTTTCTATTGTTTGGGAAGCAATTTTCAGACCAATACCCAGATCAGAATGGTCCTTGTTTGCATATTAGTAAATAGAACACTAGCCCATTGCCAGGATGAAGAACTTGGAGTATCTTCAAGATTGTATTTTTCCTATGCCAAGTTCTGACAAGGGAAATGAAGTATTTGAAATCAGAATTGTTTCAGAAAATTCAGGATATGGACCTAAGCATCTTTGCTAGCTAGGAGTTAACTGCTACCTTAAAGCCAGAGGGGGAAACACAATCGTTAAGAGTGTTAACATCTGTATTATATAGAGGGAAACAGAAGCACGCCTTTCACCCAACTTCATGCACAGAACAACAACTAGAAACAAACTAGAAGGCTCTTTCTTTCTTTCTTTCTTTCTTTTCTTTCTTTCTTTCTTTCTTTCTTTCTTTCTTTCTTTCTTTCTTTCTTTCTTTCTTTCTTTCTTTCTTTCTTTCTTTCTTTCTTTCCCTCCTCCTCCTCCTCCTCCTCCTCCTCCTGTTGGTCGTGGGGCTTGAACTCTGGTCCTAGGTTCTGTCCCTGAGCTCTTCAGCTCAAGGCGAGTGCTCGACCACTTGATCCACAGTACTACTTCCAGTTTTCTGGTGGTTAAATGGAAATAAGAGTCTCACCGACTATCCTGAGCAGTGCCTGGCTTAGAAAGTTCTTTCAAAAGATCAAAACACCTCAGCCTTTCTCTATTCTGGGTATTGAAAGCTAAAGTAAGAGAGTCCCCAGCCCCAGCCTAAACAGAAACCAGACCTTTCTAGGCCTGTGATTGAATCCAAATTAAGTGCTAAATATTAAAGTAGTAGTATAGGGACACTCCTGAAGGGGAGTGAATATCAACATGAAAGTCTGGACCAGGAGAGATAGAAAACAGAGAGGGAAGTTGAGAGATAGGAACTGGGAGATGTTAGAAGCACCTTTCGTTTAGTGTATTTAGAAACTATTGCAGGCTTCCAGGATCTGGCAGTAGGGAGGACATGAGACAATATAAGAACTCAGGAGCTCAAGGCTGGGGAAGCTGAGCTGGGGAAGCTTTGGTTCAGAGGTTCATACCTGTGGACACCCTGGCACATATCGGTGGGGAGCCCAGATCAACCTGGGTTACCACCCAGCACACTTCCCCCAAGCTCCAAGGTCCACTCTCTTATTCCATCTCTAGCATCAGCCTGGGGCCCCGGAAGGGGGAAAACCTGATGGGAAGGAAAGACTCCATCATACTGGTTGGTGGTAGACCTGGAAGAGATCAATTGGCTCAAGCTGACTCAGGTTCAGGTAGCAAGACTGCCTGCCCAGAGGCAGAGGGCCCTACTCATCAGCTTAGGTTGCCTACTTGATTCATCCTTCATCTAAATAGTTCCTTACTGAGCACATGGCTTGTGTAGGTGCCCTAAAAGAGGAGAATCTGGAATGATCAGAACCTCAGCCTTCAGATCCAGATGGTAGATGCTTCAGCCCTATGGCAAAAAGGCAGAAAGGAAAAGGCCTTTGCAGACAGCCTCTCCCAAGCCAGAATTCTCCTCCATGCCCTGCAAACCTTTTCCTCTCCCCAACACCTGGCTTTGAAACCCATAGGCTGGTGGAAACCCTTACAGAATAAAAAATACTGTTTGCTTGGGGGGAAACCAGAACACGCTGCTTGTAGAGCTTAAAATGAGAAGTAGTCTTAACTCTGAATTTCCTGGAGCCACTGCTTTGCCTCTTTCTGTGACCCCTGGGTGAACTCATCTGGCAGAACTAGTTCTGGGGTATGTTCTGATAAAGCGTGTCTTCTGCCCTTACCAGCTTCCCTTACCCCCTTTCCTGCCCTTCCCAGCCAGCTCAGCCAAGAATGGTGTGCCCACTGCCTTTTCTTTCTTCTTCATCTACTCTGAGGAGAAAGGGGGCCAGAGCAGCAGGGCAGATAAGGCCTGGCTGGAGGCCAACTAGAGGCTTTAATAGTGAAGGGGCCATTGCCAGACCCTGAAGGCAGCCAAGCAACTCTCCCCACCCTGCCTCATGAGAGTATGCGGCCTACTGAACACAGGGGAGGATAGGAGGAAGGAGCTTGGGAAGGGCTTCTTGGAGGAAGTGGCGCTTCAGTTGGGATGTAGAGGACCCCCTAGCCATTCCCCTCTTTCTCCATCTTGATTGTCCCCACTAATAGTGGGGGGGAGAGTGTGGTGTGAGTAGGGGGAGATGCCAAGATGAATGAAATAGGTCTTGGGCTCGTTGGACTCGAGGAAACAGAAAACATCAGAGCATGTGGAAATGGCACTAGAAAAGCAAAATGAACTCAAGTGGACCTGGCTTTTTTATTATCATGTACTCATGATTCTGAACAATTATTAACAAAATACATCACCCTATTTAAAGAGTTATCCTTCTCATCTTTGCCCACACTGCCATCACAGGTACTTCTTAGCTGACTGAAGTACGGGTGAACCAGTGCACCTTGCTAAACTCCAGTTTCTTTGTCTAAGTAGTACAGGGGATAATTTCCAATGTGTAAAGTACCCATAGTACTTCCCATGGGGTTATTACATATTTTAACTCAGTATATGTAAAGAGCATAGAACACTTTCCACTTGCTATTATTATTGCTGTTATTATTAGTGTGGGTAAGTGTAGTAACAAGAAGTCAGAGAGACATTAATGGATGGTCATCTGAGGAATTCCATCTGGCAAGAAATAAGGGTCAGAAGTCACTGTGGATGAGTTTGAAGTTATCACTGAAAAAGATACCACATGGCAGACAGCTCTTGACTGATGCAGAAAGTTCTTCTTTTCTCTAAAGCGTGCACAAAAGTATGGGCTCTTCAATTCCAGGAAGTCTTTGTAGCCACCAGACTCCATGAAAGATTCAATGTGATGGAAGGTACAGGCGCCTGAAAAAAAGATGCATGAAAAGGACTCACCAGGAAAGAAAGCTCCAGGGGGAAAGTCACAGATCAGCTCTGCCAGAGCCATAAAAATCTCCAAGACCTGACAGTGGGCTGGGAAAGTGGCTCAGTGGTAGAGCGCTTGCCTTGCCTGCATGAGGACCTGGGTTCGATTCCTCAGCACCACATAAGTAGAAAAAGCCAGAAGTGACGCTGTGGCTCAAGTGGTAGAGTGCTTGCCTTGAGCTGAAGAGCTGAGGGACAGTACTCAGGCCCATAGTTCAGGCCCCATGACCCGCAAAAAGACCTGACAGTACACACACACACACACACACACACACACACACACACACACGCCATACCTTCCTAGAATTACTTCCTAATTTTCCAGAGTTAAGTTAGAAAATCTTAGGAAAGTACTGCTTAACAAAGAGAAATAAAGGCATTGTTACCAACTGCCAGTGGCACATGTGTATAATCCTAGCCACTACTCGGGAGGCTGAGACCTGAGAATTGCAATTTGGAGCCAGCTCAGGCATACAAATTACAAAGACTCTGATCTCCAATTAACCAGCAAAAAGTCAGAATTGGAGGTGTAGCTTATGTGGTAGAGTGCCAGCCATAAACGAAAAAAGCTGATAGCATAAAGCCCTGAGTTCAAGCCCCAGTATTGGCACAATGAGTAGACAGGTAGATAAATATATTCATCATCACAAAATATCATGCGAGGTGAGAACAATGCTTTCTCTTCTCTCATATGAAATGGTTTCAAAAGATCTGTAAATGCTTAATCCATGGTGAGGCCTTAGAACTAAATTTCCATTTTGAAACATTTGAGGCTGACACACCATTGTAGGATTCCTTCCCAGTCATCTTTGTTCCTATCAGAGTGTCCTTTCCTAAATGTAATACCTTCCACCTGTCCACTCTGAAGAGCCACATAACCACATTGTTTTCAAAGGCCTGGGGAACTCCCTAGGGTTTGCTCTGTTGGAATTGCATGTCTGGGCCCTGGCTTACTTACATGTCCAAGTTTGGTACAATGGCCTGGCCCAGAATGGATGATTTATAAGGCTCAGACTCAGACATGTGCATCAGATGAAAATCAGATAAAAGAGTGTTTGTTTGTTTTTTTTTGCCCAGAGAAGGTGATGTTTGGTCCAGAGCAGGGTGAGGTCAGCCTATAGGTACAGCTGCAATGTAGACTATCTGCCCTTCGTCTACTTTATAGTCTCTGCTCTTGCTGCTCTAATCCCCAAGGCCTGCCTCCCTTCTGAGTACCAGTTGTTGGCCCTTGAACACAGTCTGAAGCCAGTTGACAAAGGAATGCTGTACCTGTCAGAGATGCAGTCAGGATGGCAATGCCCCAGCCCTAACCCTAAAGATGTCAGTCTAAGAAAGTATGTTTTGGGGGGCAGGGGGTAAGAGAGCGGCTATCAACTCTGGTTACCCATCAAAATTGTACTCCTGGTAGTGTTTGGCCTTGCTAATTTCCCCCTTCTTCCTGAGATGCTCTGTTCTGTGGCCATCTTTGCTCACTGTCCTCTGCCACTGGAGCCTTGGCTCCCTCCTATTTCTCTGCAGTCCCCTTCTCCTCTGCCCTGCTGCTGTGACACCTCAGATCTCATGCTCAGTTCTAAACTTTCTTCCTGAATCACTGTGTATCCACCTCCATGCTCCAAGCTCTGGTTGCTAGCTACCACTCCTGCATGACTCACCAACGTCAACCTTGTAGTCTCATGTCTTCTCAGCCAGAGTCCCACAAGTCCAACAGCCCACACAGCTTCCCAACTTAGTTACCTCAAAATGCTTCCAACTCACAAGCTAAAGCTGAACTCATGATCTGGGCCTGTAAAAGTAGGTCTTTCCTAGTATGCTTTCTTTCCCTCCCTCCCTCCCTCCCTCCCTCCCTCTTTCTCTCTCCCTCTCTCTAAAGAAATGACATCTTCTTTATCTAGGAATGTAAGCAAATTCCTAGAAGTCATCTGTTCTATATTCTATTGTTATTTAAGGAACCACCCCAAATGTACTGATTAAAAGTAATTCTACTCATTTACTTTGCTTGCAAATTTGCCATTGGGATGGAGGCTTGGAAGGAATAGCTTGGCTTTGCTCTCTGCCAGCTCCAGCTGGGGTGACTTCATTGGGAAAGGAAGATCCCCCACTTCCAAGCTGGTACACTTGGTGGCTGGCAAGCTGGAGTGGGCTCTGGTACCCTTCTCTGTGAGCTCTCTACAGGGAAGCTTCCTCGTAAGTGCGGCTGGGGGCAGGCCGAGAGCACACATCTACAGAAATAGCAAATGGAAGAGCCTAACCCCAGAAATGGGCCCGGCATCATCTCTACCATATTCAACTTGTCAGTCATTTGCAGAACCTGTCTCAAGGGAGGGGATGTGAGCCCCAGCACTTGATGAGAAGAGTTGTCAAGAATTTGAGGACTATCTTTTAAATATGCCATATCACTCGGGATCTCTTTCACCCTCAAAAATTTAAGTCAACACCACACCCCAGTGATCTTAGTTCTGTTCATTTATTTCCATTTCCTTTGCCTACTTTCATTGTGGCCTATCAGGCTTGGATCCAGCCCAGGCTTGTGACCCCACTGGCCATAGTGTGCCTTTATAGTTGATTTGTGGGACAGTCTTAGTAGGGTGGTGTTGCCCTGATAGACTAAGTAGGCTGTTTTCACTTGACCTCTATGTTTATTTGCTTGACAGTGGGAGACCAAAGACTCTCATACAGGAAGGATCGTAGCCCTCAAGAACTCTCTTGATGCTTTTGTTATACCCTGCCCAGCTCTTGATCAGGAGAGTGGTCCCTTCCATCCAAACTCCCCTTACCCTCCTCTCAACAAGTGTGTGAACACTTATTACCATGGCAGTTTCACATTTATTCTGTGATTACTTATTTGTTACCAGAAGACTGAGCTCCATAAGAACAGAACTATGTCTGCTTTGCTGCCAGTGTCTTCCTTGAGTCTGGCAGAGATCCTGGAGTATGGGCACCCAGCACCATGAAGATGGGTGTTAATGAAGGAGCATCTACCCTTTCTACTTTCACTTGGTTCAGAGCCCACTAGCTTTCACTGTCTCCTCTGCTGCCTTTCCTTATTTCCGTCTCTCTCCAGGCTGCCTTTGCCTCTCCCCAAGCCTTGCTCTCCTAAGCTCACCTGCTTCTCTCCAAATCTGCCTATGTCAAGTCCCATCCCAAAGTCTGATGGATAATCAGAGGGGCTAGCTAGAGAGTAATTCTCTAGGTTAAAGAGTCAGGGGCTGGAAAGGTGGCTCAGTGGTAGAGTGCTTGCCTTGCATGCATGAGGCCCTGGATTCGATTCCTCAGCACCACATAAGCAGAAAAAGCTGGAAGTGGCGCTGTAGCTCAAGTGGTAGAGTGCTAGCCTTGAGCTGAAGAGCTGATGGACAGCACCCAGACCCAGAGTTCAGGCCCCATGTCAGACAAAAAAATAAAAATAAAAAGAAGTCAGTCTAGTAGGGGAAAAACAAAGGAGGGGGTAACAATGCTCCATTGGATATGTACTCATTATCTTACTCATGTAGCTGTATCTCTTCTGTACAGTATCTTTACAATACAATAAATAAATCAATTTTATAAAAGAGTCAGTCACCTAGTGTGTCTCCACTTCCTTCCTCCCTCTTTCTCTTTTGCCTTCTTTCCCTCCTTCCCTTTTTCCTTCCCTCTCTTTCTCTTTCTTCTCCCTAAAGTGGCCTCTTTGGATGCTCCCTGCCCTCCCCCACAGTGACCTTTGGAACACTCCCTCCTCTTCTACCCTGGTGAGTCAGGGATGCCATAAACACCTGACTAGATCAGACATGATTTCAGGCAGCCATTTCTGGTTAGGACTGTTACAAAGGTTACTAGGAGAGGAACATAAAATGTGGTTTCTTGGAACTGTGGAACTTGCTGCCTTTTCATTGCTTCCTGATTTGTCTCCATCTGTACTCAGGGGAATGTGTCCCCCCCCACCAAGAGCGAGGCTGGGCCTCCACTTGTGCCCTAATCCGTCTTTATCCCTCTTGTCCCCTCCCAGAGTGTGATCTTGCTCCCTCTCGCTTCTCTATTTTCACTATCTCCCATTCCAGAAGCTGCTTCTCTGAAACCTATAAGCCACCTGAAGTCTCTCTGTCTTCAACCAGAGGGGACCAAGAAAGCCTGGAGACCCTTTGCACCCCTCAGTTTCAGCATTCTCTCAGGTTTCCCACAATGTCTACTTTCCTTACCTTTCACTTGGCTTTGTAGTTACAATGATACTGTGTGTTATTTGCAGAACATTTGCATAAAAGTTCACAAAGGTAACCCCCAAATTTTACTATCTATGGTGTGTGTGTGTGTGTGTGTGTGTGTGTGTGTGTATGGTATGTGTATACTTTATTACTAGAATTTGCTCTCTCTTTCTCTGTGAGTATGTAGGATGGTGACAGGGTTGTCCACAGAGCTTTGCATCCTGCTTTATTCCCTGGTTTACATGAGTTCAACATGGTGAATTGAATCCCTCAGGACCATGCCAACTCTCACCCTCTCAGTAAGCCTTGCCATTAGAACCTCTGTCCTCTGTTATCACACTTGTACTTTAACACTTGATCAAGTTCTGTGAGAATGTTCGTTGACAGTGACTTCAAACTGCTTTCTAGGCAGGGACTGTGTCACAGACCATTCAATCAGCAAGGTCTAGTTAGCATCCAGCTCTGTGTAGACCATGTCTGGGTTGTGTCAATGCATGGTGTATACAAGAGGCATCAGAGATGCAGAGCCCACTCCGAGGAGCAAGGCATCTATCTAGTGAGGGAAGAAGCCTGGGCATAAGATTCCCTGCTGCCTTAGGTGCTCATGAGTTCTGGAGGGGTCCCAGGGGCTCGCAGCGATGCAGCCAGGAACAAACCCTGTTGATCTCCATAGTGCCTTGCAAGAAGCTAGGACTTGAGAAGAAAGCTATTGAATGGAATTCTGTATGTGTATGCGTGTGTATGTGTGTGAGTGTTCATGTATGCATACCATGCTGAGATTGAACACAGGACCTCACCCTCTTGCTTGGCAAGTTTCACTCAAGACTGGTGCTCTTTCATTTTTCTTTTGTTTGTTTGTTTGTTTATTTATTTATTTGGTGTGAGGTTAATTGGGGAGAAGAGTCTCATGGACTTGCCTGCCCAGGTTGATTTTGAACTGTGATTCTCAAATCTAAGCTCCCCGAGTAGCTAAGATTCCAGGCATGAGCCACCAGTGCCTACCTTACATGTATGGAGTTCTAAAGTCTCCCCTTCTTGCCTTTGAATCCCTCTTCTTCCCCTTGTCTCTTTAGGAGCATAGCCAGGCAGGAGAAGGGGGCCTGCAGCGGAGGACTGTCTCCTTCTCCCTAGAACCCAGGCTGGCCTTCCACACTGTGATATGACATCAGCTCAGGTAGCTGTGTCTTCTCTGGTTCAGAATCTCCTTACTACCCAGGAACATGGTTTCTCTAAGCAAATGGATTTTCCTAAGCAGAGGCATTGCTGCCAGTTTCCCCATGGCTCCCATAATGGGTCTGGAGCAGGCAGTTCCATCAAGCATTTCATTATCTTCTCAGACGTATTACTTTCTGTTTAGCTCTCAAGAGATAGTTTATTATCTTCTTAACAAACCTTAATTATTTACAAGCAATCATCGAGGCCTCAAGCTGGGTCACTACTCCTAGCTTCTTGGGAGGATAATGATTTCATTTCCACATAGGTCTTCTTATAGACCCCGCTTTCCCTGGGCGTGGGGAGGATCAGTGGGATCCTTCTTTTTATTTGGGGGCGATGTCTTGGGCTCTGTACAATACCGTTCTTCCCCCCACCAGTTTCTCTGGTGATAAATCCCACTCGCACTGAGCATACATTTACTGTAATCATTTCCTTGCTGACAAAAAGCACTTATTGGACTCCTCTTGAAGGCTGGGCCTTTTGCTGAGTCTGGGGAAACCCAATGGGTGATGTAGAATATTCCAAGAGTTCTTGCTTTTGGGCCAAGATAAAAAGTATGCACTTCATGTTAAGTCATCCAACCCCCACAGAAACCTTGAGTTAGAGACTGGTTATTCTCATTTTACAATTGAGGAAACTGAGGCACAGAGAAGTTACTTACGTCACCCAAGGACACCCAGCTTGAGGAAGCAGAAGAATGCCAGCTGGACAGTTTGGCCCCAATCTTTGTGTTTTTGTCCATCCTACCATCTTGTGCAATAAAGTTTCCTGGGAGAGATGTAGTAGGAAGCAGGTACTCGTGGTGGTAGATGACGTGAGGGACAGAGTTATTTAGGATATTTTCTTTAGATCAATGCCTGTGCTCAAAATTTATCCCACACATTATTTGAATATGGGAAGATTTTTATGTCTCCTTTGAGGTAAAAGTACTTAGTCTCCCAACCTAGATGCCTCTAGAGGTTGAGGCATCAATGTATTCTTCATTATTATTTTTTAAAATACGTTTTTTATTGTAAAAATACTGTACAGAGGGGTTACAGTTACATGAACAAGGTAATGAGTACATTTGCTATCAAGCACTGTTGCCTCCTCCTTATTAACAACTTACAGCAACTGTGTTAGTCAGTTTTCCATTGCTGTGGAAAAATTCCTGAGAAAATGAACTTAAAAAGAGAAAAGGAAAGGCTTATATTGGCTCATGGCTCCCAACCACAATGAGCTGGCTCCAATCAGCTGCTTTTATGCTCAAGGTGGAGTAAAATATCACAGTGGAGGACATATGGTGGAACAAAGTGACCCATCTCTTTATGGAGGGAAGGAAAATAACTAAGCATAACCCACCAGAGCTGGGCACCGGTGGCTCACGCCTGTAATCTTAGCTACTCAGGAGGCTGAGATCTGAGGATCATGGTTCAAAGCCAGCCGGAGCAGGAAAGTCCGTGAAACTCTTATCTCCAATAAACCACCAGAAAACCGCAAGTGGCGCTGTAGCTCAAGTGGTAGAGTGCTAGCCTTGAGCTGAAGAGCTGAGGGACAGCACTCAGGCCCAGAGTTCAAGCCCCACATCCGACAAAAAACAAACAAACAAAAACCCCATCAGAAGATGTCCTCAATAGTCTTCTCCCTTCAACTAGGTCCCACCTCCTGAGTTTCCATAGCCTCCTAATACCCATCAGAAATTTAAAAAAAAATCAGTGTATTAAGGGCTCAATTATGTCTCCAAAGTCTCACTTCTGACCAAGCCTTTAACATAACAGAATTTCAAATCCAAACCCTGACTGCAACTTACTTGATGAGATGGATGTTCTTCCTGAGTATCAGAAGAGCTTTACCTTGAGAAGAAAGGAGCATGAAGAGAGAGGAAGGAAGGAAGCAAGGAGGCTTGCAGTAGGTGAGGAGAGCCACAGCTATTTATGTGGGCTGTGTGGAAAACTGAAGAGAGATGGTATCCAATATTAACATATATGAGGAGGCACGAAGGAGGGAGTAGGAAGCATCTAGAAATGAACTTCTCCTCCTGGTCACAGCATAGATGTCCCATCTATGCCTCTTCCACTGAGTGGGGATGCAAATGAGGGATTGTAGAGTTAATCAGAACAAGACCTATTGAAAGAAGAGAAAGAACTATTGAAATGACCAAGTCCAGCCAGATGTTTCGTTGCCTGCAATGTCAGAACAAGAGACTGAATCAGCAGAAAGGATTTAGGTTAATAACAGCAGCTTCTCAAGCTGGACATTTGGCATAAAGTTCTTAAACGTAGGATGCATTTTTATCTACGATTATGGAAAATGTAAGTAGGCATCAGGACGTGGGAATCCGTTCTCAGGTTTACACATACCATCTGAGAAATCTTCTATGATCTAATTTGTGCAAAGGGTTTTTGTTCATTAGTTTCGTTTAGAGACAGTCTCACTATGTAGCTCAGGATGGTTTCAAACTCACTCATTTTTCTGTCTCCTCAGGGCTGGGATTGCAGATGTGTGCTACCACACCAGGCTTTTATTTTCTTTCTGAGCTTTGTCTTGTCCATTTCTACCTCTTCCCTCATGAATCTATTAATAGGAAATGATTTTAACTCATGGTTATAATGATCTCTAAAATGGATGAATTCTTCAGTTACAATCATTAGCGATTACTATTCCTTTTTGACCACATAACCATGGTGAGGGCAAAGGTGGCTGTCTCTTGTGATTAACTTTTAGCCCTGGATACACCTGAATAGCAGATTACAGTTGAGCAAGAAGAAATGGGTTGATATGAAAAAAAGTGTAACAGCAACAATCATTTACTAAGCAGTGATTAATTCCTCCACTCCTCTTCAGGGTTTAAACCCTCAGCATCACACTGGGTAGACTGTTACTCTACCACTTTTTCATGTCTAGCCTTTTGCTGCTAGATCTTGTAGACATGGAATCTAAGTAACTCTTCTTCCACAACTGGCCTCTTAGCTTGATCCTCTAGAACTGATTGTAGTCATGAGCCATGAGTGACCATCGGTTGTAAATGTCTTTTAATGAATTTCCCTTTGTATTAGCTGTTATTAGAGTTCTTTTCTTCCTTAGTGTTCTCGGGTATTAGGAGTATGATCTGGACAGCTTGGCTATAGATAAACACATATATATGTATATGTATATATAGAGAGATACATAGATAGGTAGACAAATCTATTATCTATCTATCTATCTATCTATCTATCTATCTATCTATCTATTACCCATCCATCCTGAGGCTTTTCACTATTATAAATAGGAAAGCTTTCTATGTGCATACATTTTTACCTTGTAGAGTAACTTTATTTACTTAAAAATAATTTTATTCTCTTTAGGTAGTTGTACAAAGGAGTTGCCATTCACCAAAGCAGTTTATGAAGGTAGTGAAACTTGATCAATATCATCTATAGTTCAACATTCTCATCCACCTTCCCAACCCACCCTTTCCCTTACTTAAGTTTAGGTCATGTTCTGATTCTTTTTGCCACTTAACAAAATAGTTTATATGAAAAACGCATCTTGATCACCACCTTCCACCCACCCCTTCCCTTATTTCTCAGTTCTGTGGTATAAGCAATTAATTCTTGCCTGCATTTTCCTTCCTTCCCTCCTTCATTCTTCTACTCCTCTCCCCTCGGCCCCACCCTACCCCTTGCAAATACCCATTTCCTGGTACTTAGTTTGTGGGGCTGACTTAGATTTTTTTTTTTAAAGAATTACACCATTTGTGCTCTCCATATTGTATTTTAGTTAGGGGGGTGGTGGTTTGCAGGGCTCCTCTGCTGGCGAAGTTACTGGGGTTTGAACCAGGGCCTCGTGCTTGTCAAGCTGGTGCTTTACCAGTTACACTACGTCTTTAGCCTTCTTTCTTGCTAGTTTTTTTAAAGAGATGGAATCTAGCTAACTTTCCTGCCCCTGCTCCCGCTCAGCTTGATCCTCTCGATCTTACTCTTATCTAGGACTATAGGAATGGGCCATCTGTGCCCAGCTGATTTAAGATTTTTAAAACTGAATTTGCATCTATGTTATCAGTTACTAGGGTTCTTCTATACCATCATGTTCTTGGGTATTAGAAGTGGGGGTCTGAATAACCTAACTATAAATAAACAAAAATAGACACATAAAGTAAGTATATGAATATAAACATAAATAAAAGAGCAGAGGAGCCAGTTCTCCTGTTTTGCTGATTCTGCCTCTTGTTCTCCACCTCTAGCACTGGAGCCCCCATGGTTCAGTTGCAGACAGCTTCCCCATCTCCTTGCACCTCTTTATGACCCTCAGTGTGCTCTGGCCTTAAATGATGGAGAGCTGATGACTCTTGAGGATGCAAGTTCTTTCTTCATATCCCAGGGAGCTCCAAACTTACATAGCCTCCCCTTCAAGATCTTCACTTGCATTTCTGCAAAGCATCTCACACTTCACAGATCCACAAACCCATCATCTTCACCCTGAAACCTGCTCCTCCCTCAGCCTTCATCATGTCAGCCAATGGCAATTCAATTCTTCCATTTGTTCTGAAACAGATCCTTTGTGTTTGTACCTGGCTCTGCCTTTCTCATACCATGTCAAATCCAACCTGCAATCAAATCCTGTTGGCTCTATTTTCTAAATACATTCTGCTGTGGACTGTCTCAACACCTCTACCACCTGGACAATTGAAATTACTTTTGGCATGGCTATCCTGTCTCTACTCTTGTTCCTAACCCCCTCCCGAATAGGCAGGTAGCCACTTCACATAAACCAGAATGAACTGCTAAATCTATGTCAAATAGGTCAGTTCTACATAGATGTGCCCAACAGTTTCCCATAGCAAAGTATACATTCTTAAGTAAGGACTACAATAATGTCCATCTAATACTCCTACTTCTCTGCCTTGTTACTCCCCACTCATGTCCCCCAATACACTGGTTTTCTTGCTGCTCCTGTGCATGGACTGAAGTCACTCCTGCCTTGCTATCAGGCCCTGCAGTGCTGTGCCTCTGCCTGGCAAGTCCTTACCACAAGTATCCATCACCGATGGCAGTATAACAATCAGCCCAACAGCTAGTGCTTCAAACAATAAGAATCTTCCTCTTATTCATAAATTTTCAAGTTGGGTAGGGCTGTGCAGTAGTATAGCTGTGATCTATGCCCCATGCCCCATACTCCATGGGGTCAGCTGGGTTTGCTCACTGCCATGCCTTTGTAGTTGAAGCTGGCATGAGAAGACACCTGGTCTTCCTCAGAATGACAGTTGGGTTCCAGGGGGGGCCTCTCAAGAGGATCACATCAAACACACTGGCAGAGTGAGCTTCAGAGGGCTATGTGCCACCTACACTGTAGTGACAGCCCACCCAGACTTAAAGGGAGGGACACAGTGCACCTCCTAATGGAGGAGAGTCATTGTCACTAGGTAAGGAAAGCAGGTGTGGTGGGAACTAGTCATGTGGACAGTTTTTTCATTTTGTTGTTTTAATAGTGAATTCTCCTGGAAATGCTCTATCAGATTTGATTTTAATATTAGTCACAAAGCTCTTGACCACATGTGAACACTCCATTCGTATTTGTCAGGTGAGTATGGTGACACAAACCTGTAATCCCAGACTTGGGTGGCTCAGGCAGGTGGATATTGAATTCAAGGCCAGCCTTAGGCTATACAGGGAGTTCAAGACTGGTCTGAGTTATGTAGTGAGACCTTGCCTAAAAAGAAAAAAAACTATTGGTATAAAGATGTAAGCAAATGGATAAATCATCATCGTAGCAAAAAGATGTTGGGTAATGTTTATAGAGTCTTTTGTATGCCGAGCACTGAGAAAAACATGGACACATAGTGTCTTTCTTCATTTCCCCTTCAACTCTGAACTATGGCTCCTATTTCACAGCAAATTTAGGCTTAGAAAATTTACACAGCTGCCAAGAGGTAGGGCTGAGGTTCAAAGCTAGGCTTTAGCCACCAAATGCTTCTTTGGGATACACGCAGAGTCAAGGCACACATGTCTGTCTCTTCCACCCAGGTGTGGAGAACAGCTAGCGTGCCGTGATCCTAGTCACTGCTGGAGCGCTGGGGAGGGGGTGCGCAGGCACCTAGGGCATCCTTACAGAGGTCCCCTGGACAATCAGTGGCTATGTCCACATCATTTATTTTTCTCTCCCCCTCAAACTTCTCTTCTAGTCTGGGTGACTGTCTATGCCATCACTGTGGAAACTCCACAGGGCGCTCTTCGGGCTGCCCGGGGAAAGAGTGTCACCCTTCCATGCACCTACAGCACATCTGTGCTCAACCGGGAGGGACTTATCCAATGGGATAAACTTCTAAGGAGTCATTCGGTAAGGCTTCTTAAAAAGTTGGAGGTATTCTGAGAATAATTATCACCTGATCGGGACAGGACTCCCTTAGAAAGCAAGTACCAGAGCCCTTGAGTGAATGTGAGCTAGGTTAAGCCATGGCACCCAGCTGGGGTGGATGGGAGAGTGGTGAATGTTGCAACTAGAGGAACCAGATCTTATCATCTTTTCTTTGAAAAAAAAATCCCCCTTCCACTGGGCACCACTGGTTCACACTTGTAATCCTAGCTACTGCAGAGTCAGAGAGCTGAGGATCAAGGTTCAAACCCAGCTAAGGCAAGAAAGTCTGTCTTTCCAAAAAGCTAGAAGTGGAGCTGTGGTTCCAGTGGTAGAGCACTAGTCTTGTGCACAAAAGCTTAGGGAAAAACAATGCCCAGGCCCTGAGTTCAAGCCCCAAGAATAGCATAAAAATAAAAAATTCCCCTTCCTAAGGATGTATCTCCATTGACTAGTTTCAAATGACTTTGATTGCATTGCATTCTTTTGTTTTGTTTAGCATATACTCTGATGCCAAATTTCATTTTAGGGAGTGGTTCCCCCACTCCACATTTGGAGAGTTTTGAAGAATTTAACTTTTCTGTTTTTCAATAGATAACATAATCCCACAGCTTGAAAAATCAAAACATCGTCCAAAGTTTAGCGTGAGAAGTCTTATTCCCATCCTACCTCCATCCCAGAAGCCCTGTTCCTCCACTCTGATTCTTCTGTGGCCTGCCCCTAGGCATAGATGCTCACACATGAGACCTGACCCTGCACTGCCACATTCTCTGCTTTCTCCCTTGCCATGCTGCACCTCACACTGCAACCACTATCTGCTCTTGGAGTCTTCCTCTCTTGTCTTTCCCTTGGAGCTCTATGAGAAACCCTTAGCCCTTTGGATAAAGTTACATGGGGGTTTGCCATGTCTCTATACACTTACCTTGAGGGTCTCCATCTACCCATGTCTCAGTGAACATCTCTATGTCATTGACTCTCAAATCTTTGCCTCAGATGCACTTGCAAAACCCCTACTGTGCTTTTTCATTTGGGTGACTCTCCAGAGCTAGAGGTACTCACATAGAGGAGGGATATTGGTTACCTTCAAAGATTCTCCTATGTGTTTCCTCTCTTGGAAGGGACAGCAGCCAAACATCCAAGCCAAACCTCTCCCTGAGGACTGCCACTTCTAGCTCTGCACATTAGACCCATTTCTAAATCTCATGGGCTCTCCCTCCTTGCATTCCATGAACTCTGTTCACCCTTTCTGTCTCCATTGCCACCACCTGATAACCCATCTTTCCACACCTGAACTGCTAAACTGATTTCTTGACCAGTCCCCTTTCTCCAATCCACTTGTACACAATGTGAAGAGATATTTTACAGATACTACTCCCTAGTTCCTCTAAGATAAACTACAAACTATTAAATTCTACATACACGGCGTCTGAGATGGGCACTATAGCATCTCTAGAGTTCAGGTTCTGGACCTAGAATGCCCAGGCGGCTCTCAGCTCTGCCATTTAGTTGTGAATGAATTGGAAGGAATCCTTTACTTCTTGCTGCCCTGCTTATTTTTTTCATGCAGAAATGGATATAATCATAAGACCTGTATGTGGGGTGTTGTATGTGAACACAGATAGTATTAATGTTGTAGTGCCAGCCGCCCACGCTCACCTCTCATCAATCCATCACTCACACACCCACTTTTTTCCCTACTGGACCATGTGGGGCTGATATGTTCCTTTTACTTGTAGGTCCTTCCTGTGGTTCTCTCATTGCCTGAAATGTCCAATGTCTGTCACATTAATTCTCCTCCAGTACACACATCCTCCACCCCCAGTCCTAAGCCTGGCCAGTTCTTAGTTGCTTTTTTTAGTTTCAGTGTAATTACCACCTCTTCAAGGAGGTCTTCTCTGATTTCTCAGCTTAGAAGTGAAACCTTTATTCTCCTGGAGTCTCAAAGTCCATGGGAAAATGTTCTAATATTTGGTGGCCTGCTACTCTTAGAATCCTTTGAGGACAGAACTCATGAATTATTCATCCCTGAACACCAGGCACCTACTAGATGCTCAATAATAATTATGGCTAGCTCTTGGAGACACTTACCCTGTCAGGCAAGCCTTAACTGCTTTGCACAGACTGTGTTTTAATCCTCACTACAGTCCTGAAAGATAGGTGTTATTATTACTATCGCTTTTGTAGAAGAGAAAATAGAGCCACAGAGGTGCCCAGCATTTTGCTTGAGTTTATTAATCTAGCAAGTAATGAAACAGGGATTTCAATTGAGGTAATCTGGCTTACACACCTGTATTTTTAGCCATGAAAGTCATGCTGTTTGATAAATGATGAGCGGATCAATGAATAAATAAATTCCAGGGACTAGAGTCAAGACTAGACTCACCTTAGGGTGAAGACAACTGGCCTTTCTTCTTCCTATTAGGAAAGAGTGGTCATCTGGAAGTTTTCTACCAAATCCTACGTCTACGGGAGTCGTTATGAGAACCGTGTCAATATATCTGCCAACGCAGAGCAGTCGGATGCATCTATCACCATTGCCCAGCTGACCATGGATGACAATGGCACTTATGAGTGCTCTGTCTCGCTGATGTCAGACCTGGATGGCATCTCCAGGGCACGAGTCTCCCTGCTGGTCCTTGGTGAGTGTCTCCATCTCTTTCCTCAGGGTGGGAAGATGGTAAAGGCAGCAGAAGCTGTGTGATGTAGATACAGCCATGAAGCCCTGGGCAGCAGTGGCCCAGTCTATCTCAGGATGACCACTGCTTCTTCCTGTGGAGCTGATGGCCTACAATGGTAGCTTGTTCTCCAAGACAGACGAGGCAGACTGGCAGTGGTCCCTTGCTCCATCTGCTCTTCTTCTCCCGCATCATTTCTTCTCATTTCAGTCCAAACTCATCACAGAGCAGAAAAAGAAAATGCCTAAATCCTATCGCAGACTCTCATGTGGCTTTGTTGGTACTCAGAGGTTCAGATCATGGCTGTCTTAGGGGTACTGTCCTTTTTCCCTGTTGTCATCTTAATGTAAATTCAGCTATTCAAGGGCACTATCTCCCTACCCTTTCAACCTTGATCAGATTCTATTACCTTTGAAATATAACTTTTTTCCCATACAAAAGACTTGTTGGAATTTTTAGCTTTAGAAGAATAGGGAAAATATTCTCATTAAGGGAAAATATTCTCATTCTCATGCCTGTAACCCTAGCTACTCAGGAGGCTGAGATCTGAGGATCACAGTTCCAAGCAAAGTCTATGAGACTTATCTCCAATTACCCACTCAAAATCTGGAACTGTGGCTCAAATGGTAGAGTACTAGCCTTAAGTGAAAAAGCTAAGGGATAGTGCCCTGGCCTTGAGTTCAAGCTCCAGTACAGGCACACACACACACACACACACACACACACACACACACACACACACACATCATTAGGTAAATGAGGCCCAGAGAAAGGGAGCAACTACCTGGAAACTAGTCATTGGAAAGGTTGTCTATGTCCAGTGCCAGTGGACCGTGGCTCTTTAAACCAAAACAATGGATTCTTTTACCTTTTTTCCTCTTTACATTATTTGATAAAATTTTATTTTTAAAGACTTTTTGGAAGCATTGTAGTGAGTCAATGCAATGCAAACTAGTACTGTATAAATCATTAAGATGGTCTTCTACCCTGCCACTATGATATAGCCAATGGTAAGATAGGTAGGTGTTCTTCCAGAATCTTCCCCATGCCCTTTCATGTTGCAACCAACTCTTATACGTATTTTTCTCATTCATCAAACAAAAATGGATTAAATAAAAAGATCACTCGCAATTCACTTTTGCTTAAAAATGTCCCAGGCACATTTCTCCTCATCTACATTCAGATGACCTGGGAAGAGATACATAGTCTATCTTATGGATGTACTAGGACCTGTCCAGGTTTTCCTGCTGGTAGATTGTTTGTTGAGTCAGAATTCCACTAAACAGCCCAAGCTATCCTTGAATTCATGATCCTCCTGCCTCAGCCTCCTGAGTGATGGGGTTATAGAAGTGCAGCATCACTCCTGGCATCATATTGAGGACTCTGTGTGTGTGTGTGTGTGTGTGTGTGTGTGTGTGTGTGTGCAGTACTATCACATACCTGTTCCTCTATAGATATGTGTATATATACATATATACTTGGGATACTTTAAACTGCTGCTATATGGGTTGGCAGGAACCTGTGTAAATACTGATGTCTGATTCTGCCTCTCTACAAGTGCCTGCTATATTTTAAGAGGAAGAAGCTAACTGAAATGGTGAAGAACACAAGTCTAATTTGATATTATGGAAGTTGTTAAACCAGTGTTTTGTTTTTAAAGAGATCACTTTTCCCCTAAACGTTAATAAAGCCACTACATTCTTTCCTAAAACTGTTCTTTCCAAATGGCTTTTCAGCCACACTCTTTTAGGCAGAAGGGATTTAATTATATCTGGCAGCCCACTCTGGTGTCATGAGCGGGAAGCCCCTCAGCTCTGGCCGCAGGGGACCACCACCTGTCTAAACATCTGTCATGGCTAAGGCCACCAAACCCTGGGACTCTCGCAGAAGGAAAGACCTGTGTGCTCGCCAGACTCTGGCGCCCCCTGCCGTATATAGTGGTAGTTGCAGGCGTCCAAGAGGCCCTGAAGTCCAACAGGTTCTTTTTTTTTCCCCCTCCTCCCTGGATGTCAGCTGACATCTGTTTTTGTTTGGGAGGTAAGATCTGCCACCTGAGAATCAGAGAACAAGCCCCTCCAGGTCTTAAGCCATGGGATACTGCTTCAGCCTGAGCCTGAGCCAGAACGTAGGAAGCCTGGCTTTGACGGCTGGGAGTGTCAATAAGGGAGTGCCTCTAATTAGTTCCGGCTGGCTCACCCCACACCTGGCTGGCTCTTAGTATGAAAGCAGATGTCAGGCATACCCAATCACAGCAGCCTGTTTCCACGAAGAGTGACTGCGGTTGCTGGGTGAAAGGGAGAGGTGTGTTCTTGGACAGCATCCCCCAGCAACCCTCAGGGGGGCTGAGACTAGATTGACTGTTAATGCCCAGTGACTGTGCACCTGGACGACAGAGGCGGCAGCATTGTTTATGGCAAGCAAGCAAGCTCGTGAAGAACATGAAGGAAGAAGTTGAGGGGATGGCCTGCCACCCAAGGCTTTCCGTAATAGCCCTCTCCACATGGGTTCTCCTTTGCTCAGATCCAAATATCAGTCTTCATGCTGCTTTTGCTTCTTATCCTTTGGAAATGCAATGGCATCTCTCCTTCCTACCAGCACCTCCACCACCAGCCTTCTTTACTCCCCTTGCAGGTCACAGCCCATGATGTGACTGGGTCAGTGTTCAAACCTGCCTCCCTGCCTTGCCGCCTGCCTTTTCCCTTGTGTGATCCCTTGTCTTTTGCCTCCACTGGGTTTCTTGACTCTCTTACTATGTCACCTCCATGTCCAGGCTGACAGGCATAGAGTGGGTGCCAAGTTAAGGTCTGCAGAATGGCCTGTTCCACCTATGATGTGTTAATGAAGCTAGGAGAAAAGCCTAGTCCAGGAGTGTCAGAAAGGCTGGGGAATCAAGGGGGGACTGGGGCTTTGACAGTGGACTTCTGGGTTTTGTCACCTCCTTTCTGTGGCCTAACTTTCCTCAGCCCTGTGTCTTCTGCCTCACCTGTCCCTTTGGTCCTATCTAGCTAGTGTTATTCTCTGCTGCTTTTAAGGGTTCTTCCTATCATCCATCTGATTAGGTGGGGTGGTAGCGGCATTTGATCAGCAAAACATGGGGAGAGGGTTGTGCCAAACCTATAGAGAACATGCCTAAGAAGTTACAGTTGAAAGGCCTAGCTGAGCATTTTTAAAAAAGTATTTTGTTGTTATCGTAGAGGTGATACATATGGAGTTACAGTTACATGAGTCAGGTAATGACTTTCACAATAGAAAAAAGAAGTTACAGTTGAAGGATTGTCGATCATTAGGTAACCTGTGATCAAATCCTGATAGTCGTCTGCCTGCAGCAGGGGCTAAAATAATGCCATCTGGCCCTTCATGGAATGCATTTGTTGTCTGCTACTTTCTCAGAGATTCCCTAAAATGGTGCAGATGAGTTGCAGGCAGGGAATGCTTGCATGGGTTGGAGTTGCAGGGTCTGGAATCTGAACAGCTGGGTTCTAGTCTTATTTCTTTCTGCTAGGACTTAGGAACAAGTGTCCGCTCTGGGCTCCACTATCTCCTCTTTATCGTGGCTATGGTCGCCTATCTTTAAATTCCCATTGCTCTACAAAGCTCTCAAAACTATACCTATGAAGCCACAACCAGCCACAGACGCTGCTCAGATGAATGTCTGCCTCTTGGAGAGGGACACAAGCCACTAAAGAGATATTCTGGAGTGAATCAGTTTTATAGTGTTATATCTTGCCACTAAGCTGTGAATCTCTCTGCCTGTGAATAAACAAGACTCTGTATGTGGGGTACACACGGTGTGTACAGGCATACATGCACAAGCACATACGTGCCTTGGGGTGGTGGGTAACTCTCTCCAAGCCCCTTTTAATTTGTGCCTTGTTTTTTGGTGTCTCCTCTCCACAGTGCCACCCTCCCCACCAGACTGCAACATCAAGGGAGAAACTGTGATTGGGAACGATATCGAGCTGACTTGTCAGTCAGCAGAAGGCTCCCCAGCCCCTCAGTACAGCTGGAAGAGCTATGACACCCAGAACCAGGAGCGACCATTGGTCCCACCAGGTGATGGGGGTGTGGCAATCAGGAAGATGCAACTGACTGGCTAGGGCTGCCAGAGAAGATAGACGCTGACCCATTAGACTTGCTCTTTTCCCCTGACCCACACTTATATTATCTTGGGCCATCCTTCTAAGCACTAGTTTCTTATAATACAGGTATTTGTGAGAACTAAAGTTGGCTCATGTAAAGCACTTAGCAGAAACATGTGATGAGTGCTGCTTTATTTGTGATATTCTCCATTACTATGTAAAATCACTAAGGGGGATTTAAACTTTGCTGATGATTATGTGCTAAAGTGTACATTTGAGGCCCTGAGATTAATGTTCATCTGCACCACATCGGACCACCTCAGAGTCCATGGGGCCCTGTGCAGTAAATCCAGCACTTTTTACATTCCTCCCCCATCACACCGCCATTCACAGGAAGGAGGTGGCAGATTCAGCTGTAGTTGCCAGGAGATCCATTTTTGTACTGACTGGGCAGCTAGGGATTTGACCTTTCCATCAGGAAACAAACTGGAAGAAACAAATGAGTCATACAAACATTCTACTGTTATTAGCCAGAGCTGGGTGGTGTGCAGATTCCTGGGTAGAATCCCTGGCTACCTGTGATTCTGCCCCAGATGCCCTGCTGCTTGTACCAGGGGCTGCTAAGGTTCAGGAAAGACCAAGGCCTGAAAGAATGGTTGGATTTAACCAGGAGGTCTCTCAGTTCAATGGAAAAGTAGGAAGGAGGTGAAAATGAAATCCTGGGATAGGCTTTCTCTGGAGTTAAGTGGAGCTGTTTGGGGTGGGGAAAGGATCTCATGGGTCGGGGGTGGGGCAAGTTAGCAGATGAGCAGCAAAGTTCATCTGTCAAAAATGGTGGTTTCAAACACTCCACCTGCCCCTCATTTGGAGACAAAACAAGGCCTTCTTTAAAAACAGAGTAGGTAGAACTCACTTTACCTTGCATAAAATGAGAGCTGTAATAGGAACTTCGGTAAGCTTCTGGTTTTGTTTACATATTTCGGGTTGGCTAAGTTTTACTGAGTGGCTGGAATTTTGTGGAAACCACCTGGCAGTTTAGGGGACTCTGACCTTCAACTGCTGGCCTGGGAATGACCTGGGTGTAATAATTCCAGTGATGATCCCAAAATACCGGTCATATCTTTCTTCTAGAGTCAGACCCAGAGTGGATGATTTTAAGGTGACAAAGACCATGGTGGGGTAAGGAAGAGGACGGGTTAAGCTTTCTCCAAGGAGAGCGTGGTATAGCATTGACACCATGGTCTTAAATACTGGCTCTGCCACTTTTTAGCTGGTTGACATTGACAAGTTACTTAGCCTCTCTGTGCCTTAGTTTCTGTAAGATTAAATCAAAGTATGTGTTCAGTACTGTGGCTGGTTGATGGCAAATACTCAACCCTAGGGATTATCGGCTATTATTGGAGTTGGATCTCTAAAGATGAGGAGGTTAGGTTGGAGAATGCATGAGAATCACTGTTGGTGGCTACGGGATAGGGTGCACATATGCAGGAATGACGGATAGACTGTTGTTAGGAAAGGATATAAGACAAGATCTCGAAGGGCCTGTGCATCAGCTGGGGATGTTGGCCTATGCTCTATAAACCTCAGGCTGTCTCTGGGAGTGGCAAAACGGAGCATCCAGGACATAGCTTTCCTGCCTCTCCCAGGAAAGACCACTCTAGCTGTTAGGAGCACAAACCTAGTAATTCCAAAAGGGGAGGATCTGGAGGATGTGTGTGCTGGTCAGCTTCTTGTGGAGACTTGAGAAAAGATTCCTCTGGACTCATGGTTGCAGTGGACTCTGTCTGTCATGGCACACATCCCAGAGGCTAGAAAGGGAGAGGGAGGAGCGGGAGAAGGAAGTGGGATGGTGTCACTCACGTTCAGGGCCGGGCTCCCTCATTAACCTAAACCTCCCTGGAAACGCACTCACATGCACTCCCAGTGGTGTGCTTTACTAATCTAGGCACTTCATCCAGCTAAGTGGGCCGACAAGATTTACTATCAGAATATGAGAGATTAAAAGGAGTCTGAACAAAATCTTTATCCAGACTCACATACAGATTTTCTCAGTCAGAACTGAGACCTGGTGACAGAAGAGAAGGTGATGAGTGGTAACCACCCATGCTTCGTGTCTGGGTGATGTAGTGGGCACAGGGTGCCCTTTCAGCGCCCTTTGTGCTCACCTTTTTTGGACTTTAAGTATTTCAGTCCACTTTGGAGAGTAGGCTTCCTCCATCTTCCTCCATCCTCATTCATCTTCCTCTATATGAACACAGAACTTCCAAAATCAGAGACTGATTTCTTTCTTTTCTTTTCTTGGTGGTACCAGGACTTGAACTCAGGGCCTCAGACCTGCTTGGCTTGCTTGGCTGGTGCTCTACCACTTGAGCCACATCTCCAGCACTGCTTTTTCCTGGTTAATTGGAGGTAGATTCTTGCACATTTTTCTGCCTGCGATAGTTTAGATTCCCCCAGCCCTTTGGATCTCAGCCTTCTGAGAAGGTATTATTACAGGTGTGAGCCACTAGGCACTTGGCTGAGATTGGTTTCTTTGACTTATCAATGAGTGGAAACAAAGTAGCAGTGAAAAGAACAGGGACTCTAGAATCAGGAAACAAGGATTTGAGTCCTGACTTCTTCCCTTTGTCACTCATATAATCATCTGGGGAAAAAAAAACCCAGATGATCCCAATGCCACTACCTCCTCCAAACCCATGAGGAGATGGGGGAGATTGCATGTACGCTCTGAGCATACTTTGCAAATTGTGTTCCAGCCAACTGAGGTCAAACACTCAAGGAAGAGGAATCAGGATATCAATGAAGGTGGGAGGAGTAATTGTGGGGGCAAGGGCACTTTAGCAGAGGTTGTGGAGGGTGAGGAGGGTTCAGGCAGGATCTTGGTGTCTGGGTATGAGATGGCAGTACAAGCTTATTAAAAAGCCAGGAGAGGCCAGGTGCCTGTAGCATTTGCCTGCAATCCTAGCTACTTAAGAAGCTGAAATCTGAGGGCTGAGGTTCAAAGCCAGCTAAGGAGACAAATCTGCTAGATTCTTGTCCCCAATTAGCCAGCAAGAAGATAGAAGTGGTGCAATAGCACTTCTTGGCCCTTTGGCTAAGATCATGTGTATTATCTATTCTTATTAGTTTAATGTCTGATATGTCCTCTTTCCAAGGACAATATATGTATATATATTTAATACATTTTATTGTAAAAATACTGTACAAAGGAGTTACAGTTACATGAGTAAGGTGATGAGTACATTTCCTATTGAGCATTAATGCCCCCTGCCCCCCCCACACATGCGCCAAAGTTGTAAAGTTTGTTTTCAACATAGTGTCTTGTACATCTCATTATTACAATGGGTCAACCTGTATCCCTATTTAAACCTTTTGATTTTTTCCCTTCCCCTCTCCAAATTAGAAAAATATATATACAAGATGCAGGGCACTGAAATCAAATACAGTGAAAACAGGGGTTACACCATGGGGGAGGAACATACCAAACCAACAAAAAAGTCACATAGTACATTATACATACATTAAAAACAATAGCAAGAAAAAAAACATTTGTTTCCCTTTCTTGGGGTTCATTTCACTTAGCACACTTAGCATCATCTTACATGGTCATATGTACATAACTTTTGGACCTTTTCTGCTTGTCCTAAACATATACTAGCTATTACAAATAAAGGAAACCATGGGACCTATGTTTCTTTGGGCCTGGCTCACTTCACTTAATATAATTTTTTCCAAGTCTTTCCATTTCCTAACAAATGGGGCAATGTCATTCTTTCTGAAGGAGGCATAGAATTATATATATATATATATATATATATATATATATATCACATTTTCTTAATCTATTCATATGGGGGGGGTGCATCTGGGTTGGTTCCATATCTTAGCTATGGTAAATAATGCTGCGAAAAACATAGTTGTGCTGGTAGCTTTAGTATGGTCTTGTTTGTGATCATTTGGGTAAATGCCCCAAAGTGGGATTGCTGGGTCATAGGGGAGCTCTATGTGGAGTCTTTTGAAGAACCTCCATATTGCTTTCCAAAGTGGTTGAACAAGTTTACACTCCCACTAACAATGCAGTAGGATTCCCTTTTGGCCACATCCCCTCCAGCATCTGTTATTAGATTTCTTGATTATAGCCATTCTAACTGGGGTGAGGTGGAACTTCATTGTTGTTTTTATTTGCATTTATTTTATGGGTAGAGAAGTTAAGCATTTCTTCATGTGTCTATTGGTCATTCTTATTTCCTCTTCAGAGAAGTTCCTCTTTAAATCTTTAGGCCACTTATTTATTGGGTAGTTGTTTCTTTGAGGATTTGTTGTTGGAGCATTTAATTTTATGAGTTCTAAGTACTTTTTAGATATGAGACCCTTGTCCGTTGTATGGCTAGTGACTATCTCCCAATCCACGGGTTATTGATCATGCTAACTGTACAAGGACAATATATTAAATGGATTTTTTGAGCTAGGCCTGGTACCTCCAGGAGCGGTGCACCCCTCCCAATTAAAAAAAAATAGAAGTGGAGCAAGTGATAGAGTCCCAGATGTCAGCAAAAGCCAAGTGAATGCAAGGCCCTGAGTTCAAACCCCAGCAATGGTGTATACACACACACACACACACACACACACACACACACACACACACACACACCAGTGGGATTAGAGGGGAAGAAAAGCTTGATTTGTGATTTGGGGACTTATTGGAGAGGACTCCCCATAAAGCAAGAAGTGTGGGAGGCAGAGGTTGTGCTGTGCGTTTCTCTTCTTGACCACAAGGTGTCACTAGTGGAGTGGAAAGAGTTTTCACTAGCTTTCAGAAAACAGTCCTTTTCCAGAGCCAAGGGCAGTCCTGTATCTTGGGATGGGCTCTAATGCATCCCAGAGAAGCTTCTAGCATCCACTATCTGTTGAAGGGAACTCGGTATGCTAGAAGATCCTGTGAGCCTTACCCTCTAAAACAGTGGAAACCCCACACCATCTCTACAATTCCTTAGCATGCTTTCAGCATGTAGGCCTAACAGATACTGTTATATGTAACAAAATCAGTTAGTTTAGGAAATGGAAACATTAATGCCATGAACCACTCTCTGGTACTTGTTGGGGTATTTTAAAATGACAGAAAGCCTTGCCCTTACAGATAAAGCAAAACAAAACCGTACTTAACCCTACCTCGGTAATTGCTGAACTTGGTTTTAATCACAAACCCTTTCTCCTACCATATATTAGTACTATATGTAAGCAATGTTCCAGAAACGCTTTGAGGTCTGGAATTCCAAAGCTAGTTGGGCTCAAGGTTTTAAGGGAAGGGATTGAAGGAACTATTGTGTTTGTAAAAAAGACAGTAAGAAAATAACCCCGATTGAAGTGTTTCTCTCACCCCCACCCCCCACCCATCTCTTTCTCCTTCTGAGTACTGGGGTTTGAACTCAGGGACCATATTTGCTAGGAAGCTCTATCACTTGAACCATGCCTCCAACCCTTTTTACTTTTTAGTTTTTTTTTAGACAGGGTCTTGTTCTTTCTGGGGCTAGCCTTGAACTACAACCCTCCTACTTATGCCTCACACATGGCTGAGATTACAGGGATGCACCATCACCCCCAATTTATTCTCTTTTCTTTAGAAAGGCTTCCTCTGATTGGTCCAATGAAATTAAATCTTTTCACTAGAAGCTCAACTAGTACCTCCACTTGGAATTGGAACCACCCATAAAACTACCATTGTTGTGTGTCTGTCTTCCTTTGTAGAAAGGAAACCCCAAGAGGAGGGGGGGATCCTCTTCATCTTATTTATGACTGCGATGTTTTATAGGTTTTCTGTATTGGAAATGAAATAGTGTATGTCATGTTAAAAGAATGTATTGTTAACTCTTCCAGAGAGTTCTAGACCTGTAGAAGAGTTTTGTTCCAGCTTTCTAAACTTTTTTGGCCTTGAGCAAGTCACTTAGCTTTTGAAAACCCCCAGTCGCTTCTATGAGCAGGAATTGGAAATTCTTGTCTCACCCTCCATACAAGGCAATTGGAGACAAAAGAGCCTCCTGAAGACATTTTCTGAGGTGCATGTCCCCCCAAGGAACAGATCCAGTCTTCCCAGAGCATGGAGGCGGGGACTGGTGGGGTAGACCGCGACTCTGGTTTTGCTCATGGGGCTCAAGAGGAAGCTGGCATGATTTCTGAGCCAGATCTGTAGCCCTGTCACCCTATTGCAAGGTTGGACTTTTTACTAAAGTTTAGGGGCAGCTTCTGAGATGTGTGCAGGGCAGTGACAGATCCTGTTTGTAATTTTAAACCTCTCCTATGGTGAGGAACCAGCTGGGAGCAGCAGGCTTCTCACGAGGCTGCTCTGCAGTTGGGTCTTAATTCTCTCAAAACAGCAGTTATGACAAAGCATCTTTGAGGATCGGCCATGCATATATGTCTAAGCAGAAGCTCTCCCTTCAAGGTGAAAAAATTCATAGAACTTTGGATATCCAGCCCGTGCCCCTGGGTTCAGGATCAGATGTGCATGTGGAATGTTTGATGTGAGGTTCATGATAGTGTCTTTGTATGTGTAAGTATATGTGTGGTATGTGTATGGCATTGTGTACAATATGATGGTATCTGTTAGTATTGAGTGTACTGTGTGTACAGTGTGGTGTGAGACAATATCTATGGTATGCAATGGTGTCTCTGTGTGTAGGTAGGCATATGTGTTGCATGTGTGGAGTGGGGTATGATAGAGTCTGTGTGTACGATGTCTATAAATGTGTTTGTGGTGAAATCTGTGAATGTGTGGTGGGTGATAGTATGTGTATGATGGCATTTGTGAAAGTGTGCGGTGTGTGATTGTGTGATAGTAATATGGGTGGTATGGGTAGAGGTGTGATAGTGTCTGTGTATATGGCACATGATGGTGTGCATGATATATCTGTGTATATGTGTGTATAGTATGTGATGGTGTCTGAGTGCGTTGTGTCTGTATGTGTGGCATGTTGGTATGTATATGATGGAATCTATGAATGTGTGCAGTGTGTGTGATGATACCTGTGAATGTGTGTGGTGTGTGATAGTGTCTGTGTGTGGCATGTGATGGTGTATGATGTGTGATAGTATGCGTATGACAGCATCTGTGAATGTGTGTGGTATGTCATGGCATCTGCGTGTGGTGTGTGGTAGTGTCCGTGTGTGCATGTGATGAGTGTGTGTGATGATATCTGTGAATATATGTGTGATGTGTGGTGATGGCTGTGTGTGTGGTGTCTGTGTCATGTGTGGTTGTGTGTCTGTTCAATGGGTTCTGTGTGAGTAGGGTAGGTAGGAATCCCTGTGTATGTGACAGTGCCTGGTTGGATTGTAAGCTCTCTGGTGCTGGGCCTTCTCCTGCCTCCAGTGGCTGGTTGAGAGACAATTCCCTGAGGTGCCTCAGTCCCCACTCTCTATGTTAATGCTCCACACCTCACTGCTGTTCTTCCTGCAGTCTCAGGCCAGACTCTCCTTCTGAAGAACCTTACCACAGCCATGTCGGGCTACTACACCTGCACCTCCAGCAATGAGGTGGGGATGGAATCCTGTGAGATCACCGTGGCCGTCAGACCCCGTAAGACCCGGGTGAAGAGGGAGGGGTGGGCGGGCCAGGGCTGTGCTCTGGAGTCAACAAAAGGTATACACAGAGCCTTTGTAGGGCCACCCCCACGAGAGCTGTGGTGACCTAGGCAACATGACACGGGTCCCAGGCCCCCCCTTGCTGTGAAGCTTCTCCAGTGTTCTAGAAGTAGAGCTGGGGACAGACATCCAGGGATCTCTGTAGTACCCCCTGCCCAAGTCCCACTCTGTGAGCACAGGGGAGGGTCCAGAGCCAGCTGCTGCAATGTAGACTCCAGCCCTAGGTGTAGTGGTAGGGAGCATCTCTAGCCCAGCTAAGAGCTGGCAGGGCCACCTGGGGTCTTTTTCAGAGACTAGATTAAGATGCAAAGCCCTTGGGTCTGTGTATCCATATCTGCACCTCCATCCTTTACTGTTGCAGTCCTGTCTGCTTAAATTCCTTCAGTGTTACCAGAAACTAGCACTGGCAGCTCCAGCACAGGGCAGCAGAGACTAGAGGAGCCAGCTTTGGTGTCCTACAACAGCTGTTCTGGCTCCTCATCCATCTCCTTTGGTGCATAGGGCTGAGTGGAAGGCTGGGCTGGTACAGCTGCTCTGTTCTCTTGCAGCCTCCATGAATGTGGCCCTGTATGCGGGCATTGCAGGAGGGGTGGTTGCAGCCCTCATCATCATTGGCATCATCATTTACTGCTGCTGCTTCCGGGAGAAGGATGGGAAGACCGAGGCGAAGGATGCAAAGAGGTTAGTGTCTAGGCGTGTGGCTGCTGGATGGGCTGAACAGACTGGAAATAAACACCCCAGCTTCTCAAGGAAAAACCCACTTACAACACCTGGCGGACAGTTATTGTTGTTGCCACTTCCCTTGTGTAGCTGAAAACAGAGCAATGTGCCCAAATCATAAAGGATGAGCTGCAGTCTCCGGACTTGCCTCTGCCATCCATAGTTTTCCAGCCTCTGGTCTCAGTGTGAAGTGTCCTGTGGCAAAGCTAGTTCCAGGTATGGGTGGGAACCCCTGTACTCACAGTAGAGCAAGTTTGTGGTAGCACAGTGTCTATTTTCCAGGGAACTGTTATATCTGGTGGGCAGGCCTGCAGGTCTGGTGGCTGTTTTAGATCCAGCTTTTTGGGGTCCCAACCAACTGAAGGCAAACCTTTCCCTTGTCCTAACTGTCTGCAGGAATCAGATCGCTTACCAGCAGCCATCAGAGCAACTGAGAGAGATTTCCAGAAAAAGAGAAGAGGAAGATGACTACAGACACGAAGAGCAGAGGAACTCTGGGCACGAATCCCCTGACCCGAGCATGACAGAAGCTTGCTGAAGGGCTGGGGGCAGGCAGGGAACTATTTCTTGTTTCCCCATCTTTCCTCCCTCCCTAAGCCCCATTTTCCTGTCTCCCCACCCCACCCACTGGAAAGATGCTTGTGCTGTGTCTGCTGCTGGACTGGCCTGGCTTGACTGACAGGAGTCCACCTGTGGTGGGTCCTACTAACCACAACATCCTATGATGTGCTGCCTAGCTCAGGGCCTGGATCTCTGTATATGTCAGGCTGCAGCCCCAGCTGCCCTGTAACTGGCAGAAGCTCCTGGAAACTCAGTAGTGAGCACAGATGCTCCTACTCAGAGCTTCCCACAGAGGTGATGCCAGCCTCAGGAGGGTGGGATCCTGCCTGCTCTCCAGCATGTCTGCCCCCAAGGGGAGCACCTGCAGGAGGCTTGTACACCAAGTATTTTTGCTAAATGAATGAAAGAATAAATGTGTATGTGGACTCTTCATTGTTAGTCCTGCATAAGTCTGCTCTTTGTGTAGAGGCTCACACTGACTTGGTCTTCAGCTTCTAGTCCTTTCCTAGCCTCCTCTCCCCAGCAGAGACCATACATACCCTGTGGGGATTATGTCCATGTACCTTCCATCTCTGCCTGCCAAAACTGGGGAGGGGATTGGAAGCTTGACTCATCAGTAGAGTGACTGTCTTAACAAGTAGGAGGTCCTGAATTCAAACTCCTGTACATACACATACACACACACCACCACCACCAAAAACCCACAACAAATTACGTTATATATCTTTAGCTGAGTGCCAGTGGCTCATGCTTGCAATATCCTAGCTTCTTAGTTACTCAAGATGGCTGTGGTTGGAAGTCAACATAGTGAGATTCCTTCTCCAAAATAATCAGTAAAAACATGGCCTGCATATATATATATATATATATATATAAAATTTTTTTTGGGGGGGGGTCTGGTCGTGGGGCCTGAACTCTGGGCCTGGGCACTGTCCCTCAGCTCTTCAGCTCAAGGCTAGAGCTCTAACATTTGAGCCACAGCACCACTTCTGGCTTTTTTCTTTTTGCTTATGTGGTGCTGAGGAATCGAACCCAGGGCCTCATGCATGCAAGGCAAACGCTCTACCACTGAGCCACCTTCACAGCCCCTGCATATATATTTTACTCATCAACTCCTTTGTTAAATGACAACTCCTTTTACAACTAGATAAAAAAAAAACCAGACTAGAGCTGTGGCTCATGTGGTAGAGCTCCAAATAAGTAAGTGGCTCAGGTGGTAGAGGTCCATATGAGGAAGCAAGCTAAATAAGTTATGAGGCCGAGTTCAAACCCCAATACTGCCAAAGACCATTGCAGACCACCATTGTTTCATTTTTCCTGATCGCCCAGGGATGTGAGATGGTTTTATTGCTTTGTTTTGAACTGGTCCCAGGCAGTCATCTGAATGTATGCTTCCTACTCTAATAGCAGAGGGGATCCTGGCCAGGCAGGGCCTGGGCCTCACAGCTCTACTCTCCCTGGAGTCAGGTGGTCTTATATGGGACTAATTTGAGAGGGTGAGCTTGCCCTCTGTTCCCCCTGATATAACTGTATATCAGACTTCATACACTTGCCCTGGGAGCTCATTGTTCTCATTACACAGAGCTAACTTTGAAACTAGGTTCATTTTCACTTGATGAAGTACAAATCTTTGAATGGAGTTTTGCATATCAAAGCCCCATCAATCCTGTTCTCCTGGAGCTGTCTGAATTTTAAATTGTAGTAATCCAGCTGAACATTGATTGGCTAGTGGGGTCTTCAGAGCTAGGTGATCGAGGGCTTGTTTCAGGAGTCCATTTCCTAACCTCATTCACATTGCTCACATTCCTATCACTAAATCTTCATACTCACCCATGCCTTTAAGCCATATCTGTTACAGTGGATGGATGGCAGAGGAGCAGACTAGGAGAACTCTTCCCCTTGCCTTCATTTTATCACCAAATAGTAATTTGTTCCTCTGCTCCCTATTATGTCAGAAAATGGCAATTTGATTCTTCCATTTGCTCTGGACAAATCCTTGTATTTGTCCGTAGTTTCTTTTCCCCTCAATCCCTCAAATCCCCTTGGCTGTACTTTCTAAATACATTCTACTATGGCATGTCTCAATACCTTTACCATCTGACAACTGAAATTACTTTTTGCATGACTATCCTATCTCTACTCTTGTTCCAGCCCCCTCCTGACCAGAATGAGCTGTTAAAATACACGTCAAATAGGTTAACAGCTTCTCACAGCAAAGTATAAATCCTTAAATAAGGACTACAATTATGTCCTATGTGATACCCCCACTTCTGTGCCTTAATACTCTCCTCTCACGTCCCCCAATACACTTGCTGTTCCTGTGCATGGACTGAAGTCACTTCTACTTTGCTCTCTGGCCTCTGCCTTGCAAGTCCTTACCACAAGTATCCATCGACATGGCTGTCTGTGCCCATCACTGATGGTAATAGAACAACCAGCCCAAAAGTTAGTGCTTCAAACATGTAGAGTTGGGATGTCATTTTTTCTCAAGCACTTTCCTGTGCTTGCTGATCCCCTATTGAACTCCTTCATATGGGTGACGGATTGGTGGGACATCATTTACCTTCAAACAGCACCCAAACATCCAAGCCAAGCCCCTCACTGTGAGGCTGCCACTCCCAACTCTGCACTTTAGACCCATGTCCAAATCACATGGGCCCTCCCTTCCTCATTTCATCAGGTAACTCACCTTTCCCCACCTGAACTACTAAACTGATTCAATGCCTACTCTCAGCTCTGCCATTAGGTGTGAATGAATTGGAGAGAATCCTTTACTTCTTGCTGCCCTGCTTATTTTTTCATGCAAAAAATGGATATAATCATAAGACCTCTACGTGGGGTGTTGTGTGTGAACAGATATAATACTGATGTTGTAGTGCCATCCACCCAGGCTCACCTCTCATCAATCCATCACTCACATCCACTTTTTCCCTACTGAACCAATTGAGGCTGATATGCTCCTTCTACTTGTAGGCCCTTCCTGTGGTTCTCCCTTTGCCTGAAATGTCCAGCATCCAGCACATCTATTCTATTCTAATACACACATCCTCCACCCCTAGTTCTTAGTTGTTTTTCAAGGTTCAGTGCAACTACCACCTCTTCAAGGAGGCCTGCTCTGACTTCCCAGCTTAGAACTGATACCTTTATTCTTCTGGAATCCCATAGCTCATGAGAAGATGTTATAATATTTGGTGGCCTGTCATTTTCCCAATACTCTGAGGGTAGAACTCATGAATTATTCATCTCTGAACACCAGGCACCTACTAGATGCTCAGTAATAACCATGGCTAGCTTTTAGATACACTGTCAGTTGAGTTCTAACTGCTTTGTATAGATTGTTTTAATCATGATTACAGTCCTGTGAAACCAGTGTTATATTACTACAACCTCTGTTTTATAGGAGGAGAAACAGAGTCACAAATTGGTCAAGCATTTTACTCAGATTCATTAAATTAGTAAACTGTTGGAACTGAGATATGAGGTAGTCTGGCTTGAACATTTGTGTTTTTAGTCCCTATTTTTAGCCACTACAGCCATGCTGTTTGATAAATGAGTGTAACAATGAATAAATTAATTCCATTGACTAGAGCCAAGAAAATAAATTGACCTTAGAAGTCAAAGGTTGTTATTATGATGCCTTGTACATGATAGCTGCTCTGCAAGTACTGAGCGAGCCTCTAATTCTAGCTACTCAGGAGGTATATAAAGGAGAAAGGAGATTTGAGTTAGCCTAGGCAAAAATTAGGGAGATTCTATCTCATCAAACCAACCAACCAACCACAAGAGCTGAAAGTATGGTATGAGGCCCTGGGTTTAATCCTTAGTATAGATGTGGAGTAAGAGGAATACTGGTTGAATGACTAATAAGTGAGACTAGAGAATGTATTGGAATGGAACCAAGGGGAAAAATGCCAGAGGTTTCAAAGATGAGTGTTGGGCCTGAGATTTCTCCACTTAGTCACAGGTACTTCTGTGGTAGGAACTGCCTGCCCCCAGCCTCTGTATTCCAGTATTCCCATTCAAATTTCTTTTCTGGTTTTTTTTTTTTTTTGTCGGTCATGGGGACTAAACTCTGGGCCTGGGCGCTATCCCTCAGCTCTTCAGCTCAAGGCTAGCACTTTACCTCGTGAGCCACTTTTTCTGCTTATGTGGTGCTGAGGAATCGAACCCAGGGCCTCATGCATGCAAAGGAAGCACTCTACCACTGAGCCACCTTCCCAGTATTCCCACATTCAAAACCAAAATTTAAAACTACAGACCTAGACAATAAAGGACCTCACATTTGGGCTGTAGGAATGGTTGATGAGGGTAGTCAGGACAGGCTTTACCTCTCAGGAAAGAGTGGTCACTGGAAGCTTTGAAAGTTTTGGTTGATGAGCTTATACTAACAGGTGGTTTTTATTGGCATTTGCCAATGACTAATGATGTGGAATATCATTCCATGCTGTCTATTCTGTTCCAAAATGCCACCTCACTGCTAACATCTCCAAAGGGGAGTAATACTATGTTCTTCCATGACAAAAGAGATCAAAGGAACATGCTCTTCATTCTTGAGCCTTTGTAGATAGGTGCTAATCTCATTCATGAGGGAAAAACACTTAAGACTTACTTCCCTAAAGCCACACCTCTTAATACAAGTATAACATTTGAGACTACATTTCAACAGGAATTCAGACGGAACAGAAGTTTATAACCACAGCAATCCCAAATCATTCTTTTTAATGTGCCTAAGTCAATGGTTTTGACATCTTTGTAGAAAATTAATATATTATTTATGGATTCTCAGTTTTATTCCATTGATCTCTACTTATCTCCTTATGATTAAGATCGCTTTTAATAATTCACTTAATTGTTTATTGCTGCCACTAAACTATGAGTTCCTCAAGCCACACTTATAACCCAGTATTTGGTATACTGATCAAAATTTAAACACTAATTTTGGCAACAGTAAGAAGATAGTCCACAAGAAAAGTGGCCCTTTATGTCCAGAATAGACCTTACAAGGGGTTTCTGAAATTCTGGCAACCCTTTTCCACTGGCTATGTCTTCTCTTCATTCACTGAACACTCAGTGAGTTTAAACCCCAGCATTAAAACAAAAGTAATAAAAGAATATGTGTTATTAAGAAAAGCCTTCCTTTCAGCATCCCATGAGACATCAAGTGATTCTGTGAGATCAAAGGGGCCAATGCTTTGGGTCAAACTCCCTAAATTACAATGCTGTCTCTGCTATTGCCATGTGTGGTCTTAGACTGTGGTTCTAAATAAATATCTTTTCTTCCTGGGTTACATAATGCCCCACCCTAGATTGAAAATATGAGCTAGTTTAGGTCAATCACAAACAGGGTAGTTGCCTGACTCAGTATGACATCTGCTTGATATACTTAAAGGTTCTGTGAACCGGGAAACAGTCTATCTAGCCATGTGATTTGGGGTAAGTTATGTAAGCTTTCTCATTTTGGGTTCTCACTCTTTAATTGCTCCTTTTGTCAAATTAAGCTTATTTCAAAGACTGTGTGTTTGTGTGTGAGGGGGGGGGAGGAAGAGAGGGAGACAGGGAGAGACAGGGAGAGAGAGAGAGAGAAAGAAAGTATGTATATGCACCAGTCCTGTCCTGGGACTTGAATTCAGGGCCTGGGTGCTGTCCCTGAGCTTTTTTGCTCAAAGCTAGCACTCTCTCTCTCTTGAGCAACAGGTCTACTTCCAGCTTCTTGCTGGTTAACTTGAGATAAGAATCTCACAGACTTTCCTTCCTGGGCTGGATTCTAACCATGATCCTCAGATCTCAAGCTCCTGAATAGCTAAGATTACAGGCATGGGCCACCTGGTGCTCAGCCTACTTAAAGATATTTTTAAAGAAGTAAAATTTTTTGTTAAAGGTTAATTTTCTTGGTTACATGAAAGACAAATAGCCTGTATGTCTCTAGGATAAGATTCCCATTTCATTATAGGAAGAACTAGCTAGATTAGTACTATTTTAGAATTTTTCACAAAAGATACCTGACTTATGTAACTGTAACCCCTCTGTATATCACCTTTATCACAACAATAAAACATTTGAAAACCTTACATTCCACACATTAATTTATTTTTTTAATTTTTATTTATTTTTTATTGTAAAACATTATTAATTTATAACATTCCCCAAAGAAGAACTTTGAAAATGTTGAGACTTTTTTTGTCTAAGTGTTGAGATTTGAACCCAAGGCTTTTGCATGCACTAGGCAGGTGCTCTATTACTCAGCTACTTACATGCTCATCCCTTCAGCTTTTTTTTTTTTTTTCAACTATAGAACTCAAAAGTTTCAATGACATACCCATCATATTCCAGGAGATGTAATAAGACTTCAAGGAAAAAGAACATAAGAACACCAAGATATTCTCCAACCACAATTATTTTTAATCTATGAAACAGAGTTTCCTTACAGATTAAGTCATTTTTAGAGGAGTGGTATTTACCATTGATGTAATCTGTTTAATAGGACTGTAGTCAGAAGGGAATTTAGGCCTATTATTTTTCCAGAAATTGAAAAAGTACCATCATTAAGATATGGAAGAGAAAGATTTATACCCATCTTTTTGGGACATGTAAGATGAGAGTGAAGTTTCACAGTTGGAGAATTTGTGGATATTGCTGGAGGAACTGGAGATGCTCTCGAGTAAGCGGGTAATTCCTCTCCCTCGAACACTACTGTTTTGGCCTGAAAATTTCACCCCAGATGGGTAATCACCTAGGATATTGAAAATTCAACAAAAGAAACACAGCAATTTTACAATTTTATGATCAAGAGACACTTCAATTAACTGATTCTTGTACTATTTAGGAGACAGGTCTTTAAGGCAAAAGGCTGAACAAAACTTTCCTCTTGTTTTAGTTGGAAACCCTAACTGAAATTCTTCAGATACTATGTGAAATTCGATGTCACTTGTTTTTGAAGAGTCTCATTTCCCAAGTGACATTACCACATGAAAACTATAGCACCTATAAGAAATATTTTCTTTTAAATATTCTGAAAAAAATTGAGGTGTAAAATTTAAAAAAAATTGGAGAAGTTATATAATACTAAAGTGACAGAAAAATGTACATACTCAAATTGCTTAATATGTAAATGTCAAATAAAATGCCTAATACAAGTTAACCTAGAAACATGTTTAAATACCAAATTCTAGGATCCTTGTATGCTGTAAGACTCAAACATATTTAAAATATGGTCTTATAAAATTTAATATGCTCACCAGTGAATGCGTTTGATCTTTGTTCCTGATTAGAAGAGTTGAAATGACAGAATCCTGGACTCTCAACTCTTAACTTCTGTAAAGTAATGGGAAAAATGTTTATTTCTTATTAATTATTGGGTGGTCTAACTTCTATTTCAAATTATTCTTTAAAAATGCAAACTAAAGCTGAGCACAGTGGTTCATACCAGTAATCCTAACTACTCAGGAGGCTGAGATCTGAGGATCAAGTTTCAAAGCCAGCTTGGATAGGAAAATCTGTGAGATTCTCCTCTCCAATTAACAACCAGAAAACTGGAAGTGGTGCTGTGGCTCAAATGTGGTAGAGTGCTAGCCTTGAGCAAAAAAGCTCAGTGACAGTGCTCAGATCCTGAGATCCCACCACCGACAAAAAAAAAAAAAAAAAAGCCAACTCTGGACATTGGTTGCTGGCTCACACCTGTAATCCTAGTTACTCAATAGGCTGAGATCAAAGGATCAAGGTTTGAAGCCAATCAAGGCAAGAAAGTCTATGAGACTCTGGTCTCCAATTAACCACTGAAAAGCTGGAAGTGGTAGAGTACAGCTCCAGTGGTAGAGTGCCAGCCTTGAGTGAAACAGCTAAGTGATAGCACCCAGTACTGGAACAACAAAAAATGCAAACCCAAGTGCTTTTCCAATGTTTGATCAATTTCTGTTGCTAAGAGGAGGAATTAAGATAGTCACTAGAGGGAAATTAGGAATTACAGGGTCAAGAGACAGCATGTTTACTGAACAGAATGATTCAGAATAGAGGCCTGAAAACCTAATGGTACAAGAAAGAGGGTAAAATGAGTGCAGGCATATATATATTTAAGATATGAACACAAATCCTTCACTGTTTTAATGAAATCAGAGGATATGGTAGATGCAGGTGTGTGAGGTGGCAGGAAATATATGAAACTTCCTGATTGCGTCCTTTTCTCTGGAGAAGTGAAAGACATCAATATTGGCTAGCGCATTAATGGTGATGGGAGAGGCGACAGAAATTGGAAGGGAAAGAAAGGGCGAGAAATAAGAGATTTATCAGACTGAAAAAAACAGATATATGAAGGAAACATCAATGGTTCACTTAAAGCTGGTGGTAATAAAAATTTGGTTAATACGAGTCAGCAAGGTGGTTTATTTCCCATCTTACTTCACAGGTATAGGACCAGAATAGGTGAAGAGTTGGATTAATCAGGGTATTTGTCACTCAGGTAGGATGAGGAAAAGAGAGCTAATGGAGTTGATTAGCACAAGCAATCTAAGTTGAGAGGAAAGGTGCAGTGTGGAAAATGAAGGTGGTAAAAAGGGGATATGAGTTCTCAACTTTACACGTCAGTAGTACCTCTGGGACTGGGCTATGCAACAATCCTGTATAGGATCATAAAATAGGAATTGTGGGTCAAAGAATCTTTTGAACTGGGGTACCAGAGGGACATGGTGATAGTCACAATGGAAGATGTTTGAAATTGAGAAGATGAAGACACGACCAGTAGGGTGTAGGAGGTGACTCTAGGAGTAGGAACTTAGATCATGGGAGACAATGAGGCTGAATTCAGTGAAATGACTACCTATGAGGCAAAAGAAATACATGATTTTGATGGAAAAACTACTCTCCTGCATCAGTGTTTCTCTTAACAATGAGGATCAACCTAAGTGCCTACTACTTCCCAAACAGGGTTATCAAGTATTATGCCCTGGATGGCATGAGATTCAAAGCCCAAGAAATTTAGAAAGAAGGTATGCATGGTGTGGAAGCTAAAATCAAGAACATATAGGCAGTCTTATGACAAATGAGAAAACACAATATATCACCATCTGAAAGCACTAATGGAGAAGCAGGGGCCTCACATAACCAAAGTTTAGTTAGCAAGGAGGCATTAATTTCTCCTCATAAGTCTGAAGATACCTAAAATTTTACTGATGACTGAGGGTCCTTACCTGGTAACGCCCTGCATCCAATACAACCATTTTGGGTGTCACACTATTGCTGGCTTCATAATCTTGCAGTGGTACATGAGCTCCTGTAATCTGGACCCCAAAGAGAGTGGCCAGAGAATTACTGATGCAATACCTTTAAAAAAGAAGACAAACCTCACTGTAAGAACCTCATCCAATTCCATTTTAGAAAAAAAGTATGTATCTTTAAATGTCCAATGAAGTATAAAGATACTATTCTGAATTGGAAAATAAAATTAGAGATCCAGAAGAGATCGAAATAAGCTAGTATTCATGTCATAAAAAGGTTGTTACTTGTAAGCAATCTTCTGATTACCAGACAAAATTTCAAAGAAATAGTTATGATTATCAAGACTGCCAGGATTCACAAGTGTTTAAGCAAAGGGAAGGGAAGAAGCAAAGATATACTACAATTATAAGTTGTTAATCACCAGAACCAACCATCACCTGCTATATGAAAGGGCTAGCAGGTTAGTCAGAGATCAGGGACTATATACTTTCACTACAAAATGAGAAAATATTTGTTTCTGGAGCATCTTTGCAAAAAATGTTATCCTAATGACAGAAGCAAATTTCTCTCTCCTATAAGATTTCAAGAAGGAAAAGTTTCAAGAAGTGCTTCTGAAGATTTACCCAGATTGTTCAAGTAGAATAATAAAAGTAAGCTAAATTAAAAAAAAAAGAGCTTTGGGGGCTAGGAAGGTGGCTCAGTGGTCTTGCACACATGAGGCCCTGGGTTTGATTCCTCAGCACCACATAGCAGAAAAAGCTGGAAATGGTGCTATGGCTGAAGTGGTAGAGCACTAGCCTTGAGCTGAAGAGCTGAGAACAGTGCCCAGGCCCAGAGTTCAGGCCCCACCACCGCTTAAAAAAAAGTGCTTTGTTTTATAATTAAATTATAGTAAGGGAAATAACCAGATTTATCACAGCTCTCCTAATGAGATCGAGCAAAACGGGCACAAAAATTTTCAGTTCAGAAAACAGCATCATGAAGAAACTCCTTTTCCCAACTTACGCAATCTTCTTGCAAACAGCTAAAGCACAAAAGAGAATATCATTTTCTTCATGCCACTTGCACCTGTGGAACAAAAAGAATTTTAGTATCCTAATTTGCAGTAGCACTACCAAAGGGTTTTCATGTTCCAGATTTCTAATTTACCTGAAATCATTTAAAAACTGGACACTATTATTCCAAGATTAAGGTTTCTAATTTAACCCACAAAAACAATTTCTATATGCAGATTTTATGATACTCTGGTACAAATTCATGACAATACACAAGCAACACACAACCATAAAAATTAAATTTTACCTTAATATGAGTGTTCTAGAGGCACAGTACTGAGTAAAGCTTTTATGGATTCATTCAACAAACATTCACTGAGAGTACACTATTTGCCAAGTATTGTTTAGGCACTAGGGATACACAATTGAATGAAACAGTGCCATAAAATTTACTTGCTAGTGGAGAAGACAGACTAAAAAGGATATGCAAGCATAATTAGACAATTTAAGATCTAAGGGAAACAAGATAGAAGGAAAAGATGATATGAATTGTAAAGAAGGGTTAACAGGGCTGGGAAGGTGGCTCAGTGGTAGAGCGCTTGCCTGGCATGCATGAAGCCCTGGGTTCGATTCCTCAGCACCACATAAGCAAAAAGAAAAAAGCCAGAAGTGGTGCTGTGGCTCAAGTGTTAGAGCTCTAGCCTTGAGCTGAAGAGCTGAGGGACAGTGCTCAGGCTCAGAGTTCAGGCCCCACGACCGAACCCCCCCAAAAAAGAAGGGTCAACATCTTAGATAAAGGGCCAGAAAAGTTATCAATACAGAGGTGATGTGATAGAAGAAATAATCATAACAAGTTATATGATCCAACAGTGTTGCACATACACTGACACAACATATTTTAATCTGAAGAGCCACTTTAAACTTGTCTTTCCAGAGTCTATTAAGATGCAGAGCAGCATTCATTACTATAGAATACAATGCTTACCTAAACTGACCAAGAACCTATGCTTAAACTGTAAAAATCTGCTGGGTGCTGGTGGCTCACACCTATAATCCTAGCTACTCAGGAGGCTGAGATCTGAGGATCTCAGTTCAAAGCCAGCCCAGGCAGGAAAGTCTGTGGGACCCTTATATCCAATAAACCACTAGAAAACCAGAAGTGGCACTGTGGCTCAAGCGGTAGAGTGCTTGCCTTGAGCTGAAGAATGGAGGGACAGCACCCAGGCCCAGAGTTCAAGCCCCATGACCAACCAAAAAAAAAAAACTGTAAAAATCTGCACCTTGTAAGTATGAAAACTTAGTTATTATTATTTTTTTTTGCTGGTCAGGGGGCCTGAACTCTGGGCCTGGCTGCTGTCCCTCAGCTCTTCAGCTCAAGGTTAGCACCCTACTACTTGAGCCACAGCACCATTTCCGTCTTTTTCTGCTTATGTGGTGCTGAGGAATCGAACCCAGGGCCTCATGCATGCGAGGCAAGCACTCAACCACTGAGCCACCTTCCCAGCCCAGAAACCTTAGTTATCTTAACTGAATGGCTAGCTTCCAGACAAGGAGAAAAGCTAGAAAATAAAAATTACTTGATATTCTGTATTGTTGTCTAAGAACTTACATTTGGCTACATTTTAGAGTTTTATGAATCACTTTTATTTGATTACTCTTCTTTGGAAATGCAGTGGGAGACTTTTAATGTTACTTTTCAATCTTCCATTCAGTTAACTAGCTTCCATTCAGTGAAGGTAACTAACATTTTACATTTACTGTACCGACAGTTTTTAAAAGTATGTTAACTGAAATTGGAGTTCGTTTTACAATGAAAAAATACAGTTACCATGGCCTAAACACAAAAATTTGGTTATTATTCTTTTTTTGTGTGTGGCTATACTACAATTATTAACTTAGGAATTTGCAATTGCCAGGCAGATACTACCACTTGATCCATGTCCCTTTTTGTTTTTGCTATTTTTTGAATAGGGTCTCACATTTTTGATGGAGCAAATCTGTATCATGGTTTTTCAGGCCTGCTGGACTATACTGATTCTTTTTTTTGTCAGTCGTGGGGCTTGAACTCGGCCTGGGTGCTGTCCCTGTGCTCTTCAGCTCAAGGCGAGCACGTACCGCTTGAGCCACAGAGCCACTTCCAGTTTTCTAGTGGTTTACTGGACATAAGAGTTTCACGGACTTTCCTACCCGGGCTGGCTTTGAATTGCAATTCTCAGATCTCAGCCTCCTGAGTAGCTAGGATTACAGGTGTGAACCACCTGCGCCCGGCTTTATACTGATTTTTACTGGTGGAGATTGGGCTATCAATCCTTCCATCTCTGGCCTCTTGATTAGCTATAGAATTACAGGCATGGGTCACTAGGCCTGGATGATTATTATTCTTGATGGTAACAAGACAATTAAATTACAGTCCAACACTTTAGTCAAAGTTATTTAAGGAAATATTATTTTGTCTCAGAAAACTTTACAATTTTTGATAAGATTAAGAAAAAAGCCAGTACTGAAATTGCAAAGTGTGCAGTTGCTTAGAAGGAAATCTCAGATGCAACAGTGGAATTCTCTTTTAAGGAGCACTGCTTCCCCAACATAATGGTACAGGGGTCAACAATGAATATAAATACAGAGCCCACATGGTTGTGTGGAATTTTAGAGCTATTTACCCAGTAGCTACAATAATGGTAATGAATTCAAATATTTCAACATATCACCCATAAACTTAACAGACTAAAACAGCAAAAACCAAAAAAAGGACAGACAAAATCTACACTGACAGTATAAATAGGAGACAGATAATATAAAAATCAATTAACTGGACAAATTACACTTCAGCAACTCCTTAGTCTCTCACCTCAAGTCTTTATGTGGATAGTGGAATCCTGAGGAACAAAAAAAGACTTCAGAAAAGAGAGAAAGGAAATGAAGAGCTTAAATAAACTAAATTCATCCCCATAAAAGTCCATTGTTGAAATAAACACTGAAAAATAGTCCTGACTACAGGAAAGAACCTGTGGTCAAAAGGAGAATGGGAGGAAACCCCTTTAGACACTGGGTAGAGGGGTAAATTTAGGATTCTGTAAGTTTAAAGAACCTGCACATTGTGACACTAACAGAAGAGGGCACTTTTGAACCAAGAGTCAAGCCTCCCCAAATCACCTGCCAACAAATGCAGTAAAAGAACATCTTCATCTACAATTACAATACAAAGAAAACAAAAAAATGAAAATCAAAATACTTTGATGACACCTGTCCCCCTAAAGTTAAGAACTCTGACACATTTCATACTGAATTAAACATACTCAAACAACTATGTAAAGATTTACAACATATTCAATAAGGAACAGAAATATACCCTTAATAAGAAACTTCAAGCAAGGCACTGATGACTTACACCTGTAATTCTACCTACTCAGAAGGCTGAGACCTGAGGATTGAGGTTTGAAGCCAGCCTGGACAGAAAAATCAATGAGACTCATCTTCAAAATTCATTAGTTAAAAAAAAAGTGGAGATGCAAACATGGCTCAAGTGGTAGAGCACCAGCCTTGAATGGAAAAAGCTAAGAGATAGAGCCTAGGCCCTGAGTTCAAACTCTAGTACTTTTACAAAAATAGAAATTTCAAAACTAAAAGTAGAAATGAATAAAAAATAAGATAGTGAGTTGAATAAATTGACAAAAGTATTTTAAAAAATCATATGAGGGAAAGAAATAACTTACAAACTGTCCCCAAACGAATAGATTTGGAACGATTAAAGAAACTGAAGAAAGAAAACTATTTATGAGACTAATTTATAAAGTAAAGAGAGTAATAAGGAAAAATAAAATGAAATAAGCCCAAACGTACATACACAGGATTCCCTTAACATAAAAGTAAACACTAATACTAATTCTGAAACTACTTCTAAGAAACTACAGAAATAGAACCTGACTCTGAGTATTGAAATGGCTCACCACACACCTCAAAAAATGGATCTGGAACATAAATTCAGAAAAAAGATTCTAGTAAAACTAACAGGCTTTAAAGATGAAAACATTTTAAGTCTCCAGACAAAAATAAAAGTACCTGTTCTAGAAAGCACAAGGCCTTTAGTCCAATCCCCAGTACCACTTCTCCTCCCCCAGAACTAAAAAAAAAAAAAAAAAAAAAAGACAAATAATCCAAATCCTGTTACTACTCATCAATAAAGTTAAAAGATAAAAGGATTACATTTCTAGCCCCTCAAAACTAGAAAAAAGAATAGTACAGTACAGAGAATAAGGTAAAAGACATATATGAAGATGAGAACAGAAAATCAGATTTAAAGAACGCACTAGTTTAAAAGAAAAAGTAAATATACAAGAAATTACAATATAAATATAACTACTAAAACAAGACATTTTAGGAGACTATCTTCCTTGGAGACTTTTAAACAAATTTGAAAATCTATTTATTAGTATGACTTCCTAGGAAAATACAAATTACCAAAATTAACTCCATTAGAATTAGAAAAAGTCTAATTAAACCAATATCTGTAGAAGTTATCTGAGAATTGTCCCCCTCCCCCGAAAAAAATGCACCAATTCCAAATATACACAATTTTGTGTGGAAAAAATTAAAAAATCTGAAATATACAAAAGTAGATTTGAATAACACAAACACATTCCTTATTCTTGGCTACAACTCAATATTGAAAAGACTTTAGTTCTCCCCAAATAAATCTATAACTTTACTATATTCTCACAAATGTACTAATATTCCCTACAAATATTTTTAGGGAGCTTTAAAAGAAAATGAGTGACATTTCTGAGTAAACTATTAGCAAAAGCTGCTTTTGCTAATTCAAACAATTAAGTCAACAAATTGGAAACAAATTATGAATACAAATAAGCAAGTAAACTTAACTATATTTCAAACAAGTAATTCAATTGCTCTGAATGGGGGGAAAGAGCCCAAATAACTTCTGAAGAGAGTATTTTGACTCTTACCTTCAAACTAAATAAATCATGAGCGGACATTTATCTTTATTTTGGTAGGACTAGTGTTTGAATTCAGGGCCTCACCTTTGGAAGCCAAGAGGCTTTATTGCTGAACCAAGCCTTGAGCCCATTCATTAAAAACAAAAACCCCAGGAAAACAACAGTGGTATCACTTAATGATACCACTTAGTTCTGAAACCAGTTTCAATGTAATCTAATACTCAACAAATTTAAAAATATGGTAAGTTAAAAAAATTCTCAGTCTCAGAACAAAAAAATACAAAGGTAAAGTAGAAAACTAAAGAACTTTATGGTACTGGATTGGAATTACAGGCTCCGTGGGAGGAAACTCATGCTGACACAGAGAGAGAGGGAAAAAGATAAATACTTGTAAAATAATTAAGTGAAATAATCCAGACCCAAAGAAACATAGGTTGCATGGTTTCCCTCATTTGTGGTAACTAGAAAGTGCCTATAAATCTACAAGTAAACACACTGGATGGTAAAAGACAAGAAAGTACACTAGGACATGATAAATTATATAGGTTATATTATATAAATTATATAAATATATATAGTCACACAGTGAAACCAAAGGAAGATATTCTTAGGAAAGAACACAAAGACTCAATAGCTATGTGCAGATGATCATATAAAATAATATCTATCAAAATGAACTCTAAGAAATGGAGTTTTGTTTTCTTTACCATTTGTCTTGTTAGTTTTCTGTCTTTGGGAGGGTAAGGGAAAGGCACAAAAAGTGTAGGACAACAGATAAACAAATGCATCAGTGATTATAGACACTTAAAAATGCACAACTTATGGGTGGGGATGAGAGGGAAAAACTGGGAAAAATCGAGGGAAGGGGTGGAATTGTTCAAAAAGAAACATACTCATTACCTCTTATTATTATATGTATGTAAATATATAAACTGTAAGCCCCCTGTATATCACATTTGCAATTATATGTGTGTGTGTACATATATGCATTTTAAGAAAAAAAAGACTAAGCGGGAGACTTATTTCCATAAAAAGAGGATGTGTAACACACATTTCCTAGATCTGCCCACTACGGAGACCTAGAATCAGTGACAATGTAGTAAGGAGTGAGAATAGCTAGCACCCAGATCCTCTATTCTAAATATTATTCGCTACTAAAAAGAACCAAAGCTGGGATCAGAGAAGTTCAAGATAAACCTGGAATGCAATGTGCTAAAAAAAGCAAAATAAGAGCTCAAAGATGAGTCAATGTCAATACAACATAAAAAAGAAACTACTGCTTGAAAGTCTTCCACTGGCCACACTGAACAATCTGAACATAAAATAAGTTATGCTAATAAGAGACTATAATTCACTTAATCGGAAACTACACAATAGTCATGTAAACAAAAACAATAGGTGAAAAGGAAAAGCTCTTTCTTACAGAATTCCAATAAATGCAAGAATAATTGAATTAAAAAAAAGTGTTTTACAAATGTCATAGTAACTGACCCAGACCAAATCATGGATAAATGGTAAAACTAGTATATAAAATTTTGAAAAATACAGTATCTAGCTAATCTTATAGTATATATCCATAAGGTATTCTAGTAACATTAAGGTACAAAATTGTTACTTTTCAATCTGACAACACACTATTTTAAGCAACTGACTTATCATGATCAGAAAAGGAACAAAATGAAATCCTACCATTCCTGTGGTGACACACTGCAAAGATACAGCACGATTGTTGCTGTACTTTTTCCACAAAACGCAAAACCTTAATAAGGACATACAGACCAACTCAAATTGACATTCATTCTATAAAATAACTGGGCTGTACTCTTCAAAATAAAAAAGGTAAAAATCATGAAAAAGCAAGACTGAGGAACTTTCCAGGTTTAAAGAGCCTAATGAGTTACAGCAAGTGCAACATATGATCCTGGGTTGGACTCTGGATATTTTTTCACTACTAAAGACATAGCTGACAATTAGCAAAATGTACATCTAGTCTTCTAAAACTGAACAACATCAATGGATATAGCCTGATTCTGAGTTTTACTCTGAGAATAATGAGGTAATGAGGTGCAAGGGGAATGGTAACAGAAATTTATTTTACTTAGAAAAAAGTGTACACATATTTAAAGACAAAATTAGAAAGGCAATCTATTTAAATATTAAAATTATTGGATCTTACATATTTTTACAATGGGCAATTTTTAAGTAAATCTAAGCTTATTTCAAAATAAATATGCCTGTCAATTTATTTCATTTATATAATAAATTATAAGTGTTATAAAATAAAAACTGTCTAAATAAATCTAAAAACATTTTTTTAATCACTAGAAATTCTAATAAGAAATAGTAATTAGCAAAATGCCAATGGCTCATGCTTATAATCCTAATTACTCAAGAGGCTGAAATCTAAGAATCGCAGTTCAAGACGAGCCCTGGCAGGAAGTCTGTTGGATTCTTATCTCCAATTAATCACCATAAAGCCCAAAGTGGAGCTTTGGCTCAAGTAATAGAGCACCAGCCTTGAGCAAAAAAGCAAAGGGACAGTGCCCAGGCCCTGAGTTCAAGTTCTAATACAAGCACCAAAACAAAAAACAAAACAAAACAAAGGAACTATTCAGTTTGTCAGTTTTTTGTTGTTCTTGTTTTCTGTGCTGCACCCAAGTAATATTATCTTATAGTCAATAGAATTTTATGTTCATAAAAATAGTACTTCCAAGGCTTCAGAGGGAAATACTGCATAAAAGGCACAAACAACTAAAATAGAGCTCAGAAGTCAAAATCACATCACAAAAATCACCACCAATACCTTGTATCACTAGAATAATCCCACATGGCAACATCCAGGAGGCTTCGAACCCAGGTCTTAGAGGGCTCCTTGAGGAATTTTTGTTGGTAGATCTCCACTACAAGATCCTCTACAGAGAGAAGTTCTAGGTCTTGCCTGATTTCTTCCAGTAATAAATAGAAACAGATATACAGTTAGTGACTTTGGGTACTTAAAACATGTCAAAATGGAAATAGATATAATACACTTCTGCAGTGAACCAGGATTTTATTTACCTGATGTCCTCGCCATATGCTTCAAACACCAGATGATTCTGGCTCTATCAACAGACTGAAGAGAGAAAAAAATTATTTGTATTTTTCTTCCATTGTGATTTAATTACAATTAATTAACACTGTCCTTTCAAATGCTGGGAGATGCATGAAGGAAAGAATAGTTTATAACAAAATGGGAACTATTAAAAAAGAGTGGCATTCATTACAAAAGACAACTGCTAGTATTAACCAAATAATTTAAATATCAACGCTAAAAACCCCATGAAAAGCAAGTGAGACACATGGGCAATGAAGGAATAAATCTTCACCACTTTGTCACCCACTGATCAAAACTTTGAGTTCTAACCTGGAGGAATTTAAATGAAATAAAGACATAAGTCTTTCCTAAAAATTACAAAAAGAGAAGCAAGGGACTGATAGAGAGACCATTTTGAATAAAAGGTAATCCTGTATACAGAATATATCAATCTTCAGGGCAAAAAGATATTGCAAGTATTTCAGAAGAGAACTAAAAAAAGGACATTTAGAAATGTTTTCAACTTTTGTAGTCTTCAAAGTCCCTCCAAAACACAGTAATTTAAAAGAAAATGTATTATATTAAACTGAAAGTAACTCAGAATGTCCATGTTTTAACATACACAGCTAATGCACAGGAGAAAATTCTCCTTTTGGTACATCCTGTAGATGTAGTATCTAAATTTATACTTTCAAAGAGCTTCTTAACTGGAAATTACCTTGCAGTAGATAGGTGGCCACTTCCCTGAGTTTGGATGAATAAATCTATAGAAGTTTTTTAACACAGTTGCTTGGTCATGCCCAAATTCAAAGTTTGAAATAGGAATCTTGTGACTAGAATCACCTGGAGGAAATTAAAAAAGAGGATGAAGTGCAAACATTGAGGAAAGACAAATATTATGGGAAGTATGGAAGTAGAGGTATAAGAAGAGAGTAGTGGGTAACTCATATATATTCATTTGTACCAACCTTGGTTCCAATTAGGTACTTTGAATATTTTAATCCATAATTTTATAGCCACTCCGAAAAGTGGCTGACACAATCATAAAGAACTCCAAGAACACAAGAAACTAGCAGTAAGTTGGTAAGTGCTACAGTTATGACTCAAACCTAGGTTAAGCAACAAAGCTTTTAGTATTTTCACTATTCCATTGGATGTCTTTAATGTTTTGTTAATAAGGCTGGTGAAATTAATTGTAATAACTGCATTTTAAACAGTTGTATGTTACCTATATAACCTATGTAAGGTAATAATAAAAAAGTAAAACAAAAAGGCTGTATGATGAAATCATCAACTCAGAAAGTAAAAGACTAGATAAAGTAATTCAGACCAATCCTCTCATAAAAAATACAATGACCCTGAATATATTAAGAGCATACACACACAGATAAGAATTACTTGGTCAATGTGCAAAAACCCAGAGAAGTAAAAGGTTTTTGTTTTTTTGGGGGGGTGGGGTGGGGGAGGGATAGTTTTGTAGGACCCCCTAGGTCCTACATAAATGTCCTCTGAAAGAAGCTATTGTTATACGTCCCAAATTACTCTAGATCATTTTTTTCAACATCCTAGACAATCAGGTACACAAAGATAAAAGAATGAGACTGATATGGGTTGTCAGTGGCTCAAAACCTATAATCCTAGCTACTCAGGAGGTTGAGATTGGAGGGTGGAGTTTCAAAGCCAGCCTAGGCAAACAAAACCAAGACTCTTAATAGCCAATTAGCCATCAAAAGAGCCAGAAGCAGAGCTATGCTCAAGTAGCAGAGCACCATCCTTGAGCAAAAACACTAAATGAGAGCACAGGCACTATAAAGAAGAATGAGAAGTGAAACACTGATAGACACAAGTACTTAAGTTATTAGGCACAAATTTTAATTAATTATGCTTAGTTTGAGATAAAATTATAAATCTCAGTACAATATGATAACCTGTAACAAAAGATGCAGGAGAGCTCAACTCCTGATTGATAGATGAGGGAAAAACAAAAGGAAGGGAACACTTGCTTGTAAGAACTATAGAGATATAAAGAGGTATATAACTATAGAGCTAATACAATAAGGAATTATGAAATCTTGGAAAGTCAGAAATACTGGGATGTCTTGGAAAGTCAGAAATACTGGGATGTTGAATCCAGAATTCTGGATCTGCTTCTTCTCAGTGGCATTTACCAGTGCTAGAAAAAAATATTTAGAGGCTAAGAACCTGGATAAAGCTGTTAATAGACCCAACACTAATAAGGATTTAAAATATTATTCTAATCTTACTTAATAAAACATTATATATATAAGATTTCTATTGTCTGATGGCTTTCATTATTTATGCTGTAAAGTAAAATGTGAATTTTCAGATGCTTCTTTAGTTGTAATCTATCTGTCCTCCCTCTTTTTGAAAATTAAAAGATAATCTAAAATGGATTTAGCTCTTGTAAGGTCTGAAGCCCAATTTAAAAGCACCTCAATCCCCAAAATTGGATTAAGTTAATCTGAGATGGCTGGTGACCCCAGCTGTCAGATTCAATCATAAATCTTCCTTGGAGAAGAATAAAAACATTTAATACGTACTGTTTAACACTCAGTTAAAATACATATATCAAGAGATCTGTTAATTTGAACATCAAAATAATCAATAGACTATGAAAAGAGATTTTAAAGAAGAGTTATCTCATAGGATTACTGACATTTGACTTTAAAATAACTAGGCTCCTAATGTTTAGTGAAGTAAAAGAGAATTAATTTCTATTGAATCATTAAGACAGAAATTTTAAAAAATGAAAACATTTTCCAGCTTATGATGGCAAAATGACCTTGATAATCAGTTATACAAAGTTAAAGTTGATCTTTCTTATAAATGCACAAATCCCAAAACAAAACCTAACTCAATAATTTAAGACATATACTTACTATACTGCATTTGCTCCTGGAAAACAGGGATAGCTTATCATTGGTAAATAACCATATGAACCAAGATCACAAATCTTTCATGCTAGAAGAGAGCATTCAGTAAAATGTTCTACTGCTAAGTTTCCAGATATTATATGCAGGAATGGAATAACAGGATCATATGGTCATTTTACCTTGTTTTCTTAGGAAACTTCCACCCTGATTTTTATAGTGGCTCTATTCTAGTATGTATTAAGGGTCCATCCCTACTGTCCCCCTTCCCTCAATCCTTACCTGCACTTGTTCTATCTTCTAGATAACAGCCATTCTGACTTAGGTGATATGGAATATGTTTTGGTTTGCTTTTCCTTTGTGGTTAATAATGTTGAATATTTCTTCATTTATTTATTAGCTATTGGCACTTCTTTGGAAACCCTTCAATTCATTTGCTCATTTACTAATTGGAATATTCTTTCAGTGTTTAATTTTTGGAGCTCTTCATACATTCTGACCATAATCCTTTATTTTATGGGCAACTGGCAAAGATTCCTCTCGCATTCTGTAGGTTTTCTTTTGGCTCTAAAGATTGTTTCTTTTGCTGTGCTAAGGTTTTTAAATTTGATGCTATTTTTCAATTCTTGTTTCTTTTTAAGCAATTAAGAGTTTTACATAGAAAAACATTACCTGTTTCTATATCCTAAGAGTTTCCTCTATGTCTCCTTTAGCAGTTTCAAAGTTTCTGGTCTTACATTAAGATATTTGATCCATCTGGAACTGAATTTTTGTACGGGGTGAGTGACAGAAATCTAGCTTCATTTTCTACATTCAGATCCAGTTCTCCAAGCATCATTTGTTCAAGAGACTTTTTTTTCCAGGGTCACAAGTCAGATGGTTATAAGCTGTGTGGGCCCATTTCTGAATCTTCTATTCCACTGATTTACCTGTGTTTTTGTGCTAGTTCCATGCCATTTTTTCTACTATGGCTCTGTAGTAAACGCGACACCCAAATCTGGCATTATTCTTTTTGTTCAGGACTGCTTTGGCTATCAAGGTCTTTCATGGTGCCAAATGAATTTTAAGACTGATATTTCTCTTTTGGGAAGAATGACATTGGAATTTTGACAGAAATTGTATGGAAATTGTAGATGGTTTTCCCAATATTGATTCTGTTAATCTATGAACATGAAAGGTTTTTCTATCTTTTAGTGTTTTCACTTTATTTCTTTAATGTTGGAATAAAAACATAATTTTTAAAATTAAAAACATTTCTAAATGGCCCTAAATCAAAATAAACCTGAAACCTCCCTCAGAAGACTTTTCTAAGTAGCTAGTCAACACCTAGTCAATAAAAGTAGCTGATCTTGAAATCCAAGGATACACAGTATTTAGATAATACACCACATTCCCTTAGAAAGGAGAGATAAGACTATGAAAAGTTTTAAGTTTTTTATTTTTTAAAAGCTGTGTTTTTTTAAATTGTCAAGGTGATGTACAAAGGGGTTACAGTTAGATAACTAAGGTAATAAGTACATTTCTTGTTGCGCTGTACAGATCATTTCCAACATACTGTCTTGTGAATATCACTGTTGCATTGGTTCTCCCCTTGTCCTTTGTCCATTCTGTTGTTCCCCTTCCCTAATTCAACTAAATGTAAATACAATACTAGGGTACCAAAATCAAATACAGTGACAAAAGGGGGAGCCATAGGAGGAAGAACATTCAGAAGAAACAAATAACACAAAACATTAAAAACAAGTACAAAGAAAAACCTCGTATGTCCAAGTTTTGGAGTTCATTTCACTGAGTATCAAATTATAAGGTCATATGTACATACCTATTGAGCTATCTACTCATCTACTAAGATTATCCTAGGTGTATAGTAATTATTGCAAATAAGGGAAACCATGGGACCTGTATTTCTTTGGGTCTGGCTTGCTTCACTTAATATGATTTTTTTCCAAGTTTTTCCATTTCCTTACAAATCCGACGGTGTCATTCTCTCTGATGGAAGCATAGAATTCCATATATATATATATATATATACATATATATATATATTCCATTATATAGATCACATTTTCTTGACCAATTCATCTACCGAGGGGCATCTGGGTTGGTTCCATATCTTAGCTATGGTAAATAATGCTGCGATAAATATAGTTATGCTGGTAGCTTTAGTATGGACTTGTGGTCATTTGGGTAAATGCGCAGAAGTGCGATTGCTGGGTTATAGGGGAGCTCTATGTTTAGTCTTCTGAGGAACCTCCATACTGCTTTCCACAGTGGCTGAACAAGTTTACACTCCCACCAACAACGCAGTAGGGTTCCCTTTTGGCTCCATCCCCTCCAGCATCTGTTGTTATTAGAGTTCTTGATTATAGCCATTCTAACTGGGGTGAGGTGGAATCTCAATGTTGTTTTGATTTGCATTTCTTTTATGGCCAGAGAGCATTTCTTGATGTCTGTACTTGCCATTCTTATTTCCTCTTCAGAGAATTCTATTTTTAAAAGGCTTTAGTCCACTTATTAATGGGGCAGTTATTTTTTTGAGGATTTGTTTTTGGGGTAATTTTTTTTGTCGGTCCTGGGGCTTGAACTCTGGGCCTGGGTACTGTATTTAATTTTTTGAGTTCGAAGTATACATTAGATATGAGGCCCTTGTCTTGTTGTATGGCTGGTGAAAATCTCCCAATCTGTGGGCTTTTTCTATTGATCTTGCTAGCTATGTCCTCTGCCATGAAGAAGTTCTGCAGTTTAGTGCAATCCCATTTGTCCAACTTTTCTTTGATTTGTTGTGTTTCTGTGTCTTTAGTAAGAAAATTTTGGCCTGTGCCAAGAAGCCCTAGAGTTTCTCCTATTCCTTGTGTAATGTTTTCAAGGTATCTGCTTTGCCTTTGAGGTCTTTGATCCATTTGGAGTTGATTCTAGTGCAGGGTGATAGATAAGAATCTAGCTTTTCTACAGGTGTTTTTAACCAATTTTGCCAGCACCATTTACTGAAGAGGCTGTCTTTCATCCATTCTACTTTTTTAGCTCCCTTATAGAATATTAGGTAGCTATAGGTCTGCAGGTTTGTTTCTGAGTCTTCAGTTCTATTCCACTGGTCCTCAGGTTTGTTACTGTGCCAGTAACAAGTTGTTTTGATTACTATGGCTTTGTAATAGAGTTTGAGATCTCTCCTCTGAGTACTGTCTTTGCTGTGTCCCAGAGGAGTTGGCAATTTATATGTTCATTTTTGTTAAATATCACGAACATTTGAATTTCCTTTCTAATCTCTTTTATGACCCACAATGTGTTGAACCATGTGTTATAGAATTTTCTTTGGTGGCTTTTCCCTCTATCATTTTTAATATTCTCCAACAATAATCTAAGGTTAATATTTTCCCAGCTTAAGTTATGTATGTTAAAGGAATAAGTCATAGTTAGGCATGTATATATTCAATTCCTACAGTCTATTCTTTCATACTTACTTGCAGCCTGACAGTGAAATCGAAATCCTCGAGGAATTTCACCTATAATGTAAAATATTTTGTTGAGAGACAGAAATCTGGAAGTTCTCTAGTTGTTCTACAGTAATACTCCATAGGATGACCAAGTCATACATGGGCAGGTAATTTTAATTATGTAAAAGTAAAAATTAAACTTTATCTTTTTTTTTTTAAACAAGAGTCTTATTTAGGATTCTACAAATGGGCTCCAGGGGACTATGGGACCCTCTATTACATCAAGTATACATACATTTCCAGAGGATAGAAAATATCCAAATTGTATCTTTTTAGTGTTTTAAAGTCATATGGAAAAAAATAGCTATTTGCTTGTCCTAAGTAGCAACATTCTTGTGAGTAGGATTTGTTTTTTATTATCTAAAAATGAAGCTGTCCTAATTAATTTTAAAAAATTTACTCATCTCTTCTTTTTATGTATTTCTTCCTCCCTCTACTGCTTTTTTAGCTTCAAGTATATGGTAACTAAAATCTATTCTAACTAAACTAAAATGCTAAATATTCAAACTTAACTAAAATGTATTCTCTATAGGCACCAAATCCTGTGTTTTCACAGGACTCACTTTTTTTGAGGAGGGGGGAGCATTTGAGACAGGGTTTTAACTATGTAGCTCAGCTGGCCTCAAGCTCAAGATCTCCTGCCTCAACTTCCTGAGTAGTGAGATTACAAAGGATACACTTAATATCAATACACAGTATCCACCATGTGTCACCAAGCCCACAGCTCATCTACTCCTTATAACAGCCCTCTAGTAGGTATTATTCCTACATTACAAACAATCTAATTTGTTCAGAGAGATTAAGTAGTTTCCTCAAATTTACAATGCAATAACAGCTGAAAAACTAGTGACCACCACTGATGTGAAGGAGAAGGGAAATGGTAGAGAAGGAAAATGGCAAGCATAAAATAAACTTTCAGGAAAGCCTCAAAATGTTAAATTAAGTAAAGTATACATTTTTCAGATGTTCTGGTCACCCAATTATTGTTATTGCTATTATTATTACTGGCAATACTGGTGTTTTTAACTCAGAGCTCTAAGTTTCCTAAGCTGGCATTTTTACTATCTAGCCCTAACTTTTGCTCATTAATTTTAAGATAGAATCTCCGTTCCAACTCAGGCATCTGACTGTATTAGGTAGGGTTCCCAGGAGCCAGGTCAACAGGTATGAGCCTCAGAATCCAGCTCTTCACTGAGTAGATGTCCTAAGAACTTCCATCTATCTTCAAACCATGATTCTAATAATCCCAGATAACTAGGATTACAGGTGTGAGTTACTGGCACCAGCTCTGTCCACCCCATTGTAACACTTCAGGTAAAGAACCTAAACCAATACCTATGTCAACATCTAATACCTAATGATTTTTCAATTATTGTCAATCTTATCACATTTTGAGAACTTAGTTGTACTTCAGAATACTATTAATAAATGTAAAGAAACAATATACTTTTAAGATCCAGCATCTACTCTATGTGGGTACTTACCAGGATTTATAAAACTGTGAAATTCTGCCATAATACCTTCTTGCAGAGAATATTTAACACAGCCAATTTCACAAGGGAGGAATCGCTGTTCACAATGAGGAGGTAGCTCACCATGGCTAAAAATGTTCAAAAAGTAAAAAATACCTCCAAGGAATGCTACAAAACAAAAAATTCAAGGTGAATGTCTCAAATCTACTTCTTTCAAAAAGCCTGCTTATTCACAGATGAAAAAAGCTTTAGAACCATTCTTTTGTGTTCTTATATTTCTAATATAGCTGGAAAACAAATGGTCAAATCTTTTATACTTTACTACTCTTTGTGTAAAACACCAAAATTATTTGAACTTGAAGCAGATTCTATATAATTCAGCTACAGATAAGCCTTTACTCTCAAGAATGGCATTAGAAGAGCTGTAACACATATTCCAGCAAATATTAGCTTGATTAAGCTATGTAAAAGATTGGCTAATTAACAAATCCTTCACTCTTTATTCTCTTGCTCCACACTCCCCCCACCAACATTTGAGAAATAAATTCCAACTGTATTATATATAGACTCTGTAAAGTATGGAAAACTTAGTTTATTCCTTTTGTATTTTTTTCTACTACATGTGTAGTTCCAAAAAAAAAAAAAAGCCAGGCACTGGTGGCTCATGCCTGTAATCCTAACTCCTTAGGATGCTGAGATCTGAGGAGCTCAGTTTGAAGCCACTCTGTCAGGAAAAGTTCATGAAACTCTTATCTACACTTAACTAGCAAAAAGCCAGAAGTAGAAGTGTGGTTCAAGTAGTAGAGTGCAGGAAGAGCACCCAGGCCTTGAGTTCAAGCCTCAGGACTGGCACAAAACAAACAAACAAGAAATGTAAAAATGTGTGAAGTGTTTTTACTTAGGCTAATGTTAAAAGTTGATTAGTGTTAGCTAAAGGCAGGACCCAATTAATTAAAACAGCTACAAAAAATAGCAAATAGCAAAAACCCTTTTTTTGCCAGTCCTGGGGCTTGACCTCAGGGCCTCGGCACTGTCCCTGAGCCTCTTTGTGCTCAAAGCTAACACTCTACCACTTGAGCCACAGAACCACTTCTGGCTTTTTCTGAGTAGTTTATTGGAGCTAGGGTGGTAAGTGTGAGCCACCCACACCTGGTGCAAAGGCACTTTCACTTGATTTTTGTGGTTATCTTTATGTGTCTCCTCCAGGGTATTTTTAAAATTTTAAGAACTGGTCAATAATAACTGTGCATCTTAAATAGGTAAAATTGTGCATCTTAAATGGCAAAATGGGGTTTGAATGTATATTATATATTATGGTTTGAATGTATATTATATATTGCAGCATGATCAAATCAATCTAATTAACAAATCACATTTTTTCATAATTCAATCAACTAAAATTTAGTCTTCAATGCTGAAATATACATCATTAAACTACAGTAACAATTCTGTACAATAGATCTTAAACCTCTTATCTGCCTTTATAATTTAAGTACATCCTTATAAACAAGTCAAAGAAATATCAATGTTTAAATAATGTCTGAGGTGACAAAACAGATTTTTATTATAAAGGACTGTTGGATTATGTCAATAGGTGAAAATTATCTTTAGTGCTATAATATTTAAACACTTGTACCAAATACTTTGAAATGGAGGATCAAAATGAATAAAAACATTTACTAATATGACAGTGTTTTGAGCAATACAGCATAGTGTTTTTTTGTCTGTTTTTAGCAGTGTTTTGAACATTCAAAGTTGAGCAAAATATTTTCAGAATACTCTACCTTGATCATTTTTTAGAGACAAACTTGACATATCTGGGGGTGAAACAGTCTGCTTTGGTACAAGCATACCAGGCCTCCTCAGAGGTGTGGCAATGAGTTTCTAAAGAGAAAGAAAATCATTGATCACATAATTAAATTTACCAAAATAAGTTCCAAATAGCCCATAGATTACCTCAGTAACTTCTCAACACTAATTCAATGAATATACTTGTCTATAGCACCAATATCCAAAGACAGAAATAAAAGTAAAAATCTATATTCTAAATCAAAAGGTGAGTAAATAACTCAATTAATGAAAGTCACTTGACCAGTACTGACTACATTAATCTTCCTGTGTCACCTCCCACCATATACAACACATGGACCAAAAGAACACCAAAGGCCACTATATCCTGTTTAGTTTTCTCTTAAAGTAAAAATCAGATCATGTTGACTTGAAGTCTCATATGAGATTTTTTTTTAGGTAATATATAAGAAATGACAGTAAGAAATAAAATTAAGGTTCACAAGTGTGCCTATGTAAAAATTCAACTGATTAGTGATAATCAAACATAAATCCCCAAAATAAAAATCTCTCAAATCTCAAGCAAGAAAACTTGAATTTCAATCCAATGTTAACAGTTTAAGAATGAATTTCGGTATTACAAAAAAACAAAAACACCATGATTTGAATGTATGTTTCGAACCCCACAATGACCTTTTACTTTCCTATTATAAATTACCAAGAAACCAAATTTTATTTTGTACTTCAACATTCTTCCACTCAGAAATCTACTCAAATCTTTCTCAATTCTTTTACCTATAATGTATACAAATGTTCACCAATCTCTTTTAATATTTAAAACTGACAACCTTGGTTCTTGGTGTCATTTACAAACTATAGTGTAGATTGTAAAAGAAGGACTTTGGGAGGGAGAAAGCAGACGGGGGTAAACCAGGAAGGGGGAAAAGAAAGGGAAAGAAGGGATTGGGTGTGACTATTACAGAAATATATAAATACAAAATAGATTAACAAAAGGGGGAAACAGAGGGGAATTAAGAACAAGTAATACAGAGGGGTGAATTTGATCAAAGACCATTATATAAATAATTTTACCCCTTTATACAATAAATTGATGCTAATGAAAAATGAAGAAAAAAATGTCAATTTTTTAAATTAAAAACAACAAAAAAGAATCCAAAGGCCTAAACTATTTTTAAATACCAAAAGACAAAAAAGGCTCCTTAATCATTAACGAGTTGACAGGGACACTTGGAGACCATTTACACAACTTGTAAATTCAAATATTTCCCAAGATACCAAACAGGGATTTCTCAGGCCTTTCACTACCAAAGTATACCAACTTTTCTGTTCTGAGTTGTGAAGGCTGCTGCTGGTTGTGTGTTTGTGTCTGCTAGTACCAGGGCTTGAACTCAGGGCCTGGATACTGACCTTTGGCTTTTTTACTCGAAGCTGGTACCCCACCACTTGAGACAAACCTCCATTTCCAGCTTTTTGCTGGTAACTGGAGATAAAAGCCTGGCTTTGAACCTCAATTCTCAGATCTTAGCCTCCTGAGTTGCTAGGATCACAGGCATGAGCCACCAGTGCCCACCCTCCTACTGGATTGAGTCATTCTAATACCAGGCAACAAAAGAACGACCTCCTTTCCTCACCCTAACCCACATCAGGCAGTTGTCTACCCCTGATCTTTGACCATTCACTCAAACAGCATTTTCCAAAAGACCTTGTGTGCCAGGCCTCTGTTTCCCCTCATTTTACCTGCTTCTCTGAAGGCCCAGAATCCTTTCCCTGGGCGGCTCTCCATTCTCGAGCCATTTCTGTGTATTTCTCCTTTTCTTCCTCCCTCAGGACCTTCAGGAAATAGAAAAGAAAAGGGAAGCAGCAGTGAAGATCCCGTGTGGGCGTGGTGGGTCCCACTGTAGACGCCTGGGCATTACAGGGCCACAGGTTCTGGTGTCAGTTTGTGCCTCGCCCTAGGCCAGGGATCCCCTCCCCCCACTCGCACTCCATCAGGGGTCAAGCTCGAGGCCTGAGGGGCTCGGGCTCGGGGCTCGGGCCTCGCGGAGGCCTCTTGCTCCTCACCCCGCACTCTGGCTCCTCACCTTGCCCTTCTGCTCCCCACCTCGCCCTCCTTGCTTGCCCAACTGCCCTGCCAGGCCTGGCACGCTCTCCTCACGCCTTACCGCCCAGTCAGCGGAGCAGTAAGGGATGGCATCAGCCACGCGAACCACGGGCAGGCCTCTACGGCGTAGTTCCGGTATCTTCTCTTGCACGAAGAAATAGTAAGCATTGCGGCTGGCCCTGCGGTTCGGCATGGCGAGCACGGTCAGGCTTCGACTCGGGCCTGAGAGGGAACAAGCTGCTGGCGCCCTCGCTGGGCTCCCGCCCTTAGTAACCGAGGTAGGTGCCTGCGCACGCGCAGGACACCAGCTTTCAGCCAATCAGGGTGCAGCGCACAGCCGTACTCACACAGTTAGGAGAAGAAAATCCAGCCCCAAACCGGAAGATTCCACCTCATGCAGCGCTATTGGGGGTTGGGGGAGAGGGGAAAGGGGCGGGGCGCCACAAGTGTCCTGACTGGCTGGGATGAATCACAGGCGGGGCCTTATCACGTGGAAGGCTTGGTGCATTTGCTGCTCATTGTTGCGTAGTGGGTTGCAGTAGGTAGAGCAAGAAAGGATTAGTTGGTATTTTAGTTTGCCGGTGTTTTCAGCCAGAAACATCTGGGTTTAATGTTGTAAATGCCAAGAAGCAATTTATTCTAGAAGAAAAAATTCTCATCCAAAATAAACTTGTACAACTTTGCCACAATCAATATACATAAACTGTAGAAATTTACAACAGTTCATAATTTACCAAACAAAAGATATCTAAGTTCAGAAAACAGGTGGCTGTTTGTGGGAAAGACTTTTACCCAATTAAGTACAAGGAAAGTTACAAACTAGACCTTCGCTCTCTAAAAATAAGTTTACTCAGTCTTAGAAAACTACAAGCTAGCAAATGTATAGAGACCGGGCACCTACCAACGTCACAGTTGAGACAGTGTCTAATGTTGTAAGGATCCTTTTAAAAGCCCATTGTCAAGGCAGATTCTGGTCACTTGCTGCTTTCAAAGCCAAAAAAAAATACAAGGTCTGACCATTTCCCTAGGCCATCCTTACTAGTTTGTGTTTATGTACATTTATACACATTTGTGCTAGGTAAAAATCTTGTCACAAAACGTCCAGTACTACTTTGTCTAAAACGTTTTTATGCTAAGCATTGATAGAGACAGTGAGGAACTCCACAGCTAAGGCCCTTACTCTCAAGAAATTTACTTGGACGGGGCAAGAGGAAAGCAAAAACAAGTGCACCGATAATTGTTTTTTATTACTAATACTATTTGGGGTCCAGGGTTTGAACTCAAACTCTTGAGCACACAGGAATCCTCCTACTGAGATCTTCACCTTTGAATTTTTAAAAGTTAAATTTAGAAAAAGTCAAGAAGGAACCATGGCAAGAGGCTGAGATTTAAAAGGTCCTTGAATAAAGTTTGACAGAAATCCTCATAAAAGTATGATATATTTTATGTCAATTTTATTACTAGATGGCAGGATTTGTGGCAGTGTTATAAAATATTTCTTCTTTTTGTCTAATGAGTTACTGCTGATGTAAGGAAGATATTGATTTAGGTGTTGATCCTGTATATTTAGTAATACTCTACCATTACACTATTGATTCAAATAAAGTCAGTCAATTCTTTTGGGTTTCCTGGCTTTGTTTTCTAGAGGAAATTTTCTATTTCATGTACTAAGTATTGTACAAGTAGGAAATTTATATGTTTTAAAATAAAGAATGGAAGTTTAAAAATCATTAAATACCTTTTATACATCTTTTTAGGTAGATATATGGCTTTATCTTTTGTTAATATACTAAATTAGATTTTTTTCTAATATTGAACATTTCTACTATGCCTAGCATAAACTCTTTGATCATGAGCTCTTTTGCTCAAGGCTAGTGTTCTACCACTTTGAGCCACAGTGCTACTTCCTCATCCACAGTTTTGTAGAATTTCTTTGTAAAGCTCTTGTCCTGGTGTATCTTTGGAAGGCAGGGTGGGGTTACCTTTCACTATTGTTTACAGTATCTTGTATGCATGATTTGTCCTTGCAGTTTTCATTAGTTTTTTGTAATTTACTTAGAAAGTTGTCTTTTACATTTGGGTTGCAAGTATATTGATGCAAGATTTGGTGAGGAAGTGAAGCAATTGAAACTTTCATTTGTTATTATTAGACAACTGCTTGACACTTTCTTTTTCTTTTTTGTTGGTTATGAGGCTTGAACTCAGGGCCTGGGCACTGTTCCTGAGCCTCCTTTTGCTCAAGGCTAGTGCTCTACCCCTTGAGCCACAGAGCCACTTCCAGTTTTTGAGTGGTTAATTGGAGATAAGAATCTCACAGGAACTTTTCTCTCTGGGCTGTCTTCAAACCATGATTCTTAGATCTCAGTCTCCAGAGAGTAGCTAGGATACAGGTGTGAACCACTGGCACCTGGCAACAATTTATTATCTTTATCATAGGACCCACAATCCTACTCTTTTTTTTTTTTGTCAGTTGTGGGGCTTCAATTTGGGGCCTGGGCATTATCCCTGAGCTCTTTTGCTCAAAACTAGCATTCTACCACTTTGAGCCACAGCACCATTTCTAGTGTTCTGGTGGTTAATTGGAGACATGAATTTAACAGACTTTTCTACCTGGGCTGGCTTTGAGCCATAATCCTCAGATCTCAGTCTCCTGAGTAGCATTGCAGGTGTGAGCTACCAGCACATGGCCACAGTCTCATTCTCTTTGGAAGAGTCTAACTATACACAAAGCTTTGAGGTAAATTTTTACAGTGGCTCTATGCATAAGACCCTGAAACTGGGCAACCTAAATGTAGAAGGATGAATTGATAAATTGTGGTTTAGTTATGTAATAGAGTATTTAGGAATGTAAAGAAATGAACTAGTATTGACACTTGACATGATGAATTTTGAAATTTAGAGTGGAAAGAGGCACACATGAAGCATACCTATTATATAACTCAATGAATATGAACCTCAAGAAAAGCTGAAACTATAGTTACAGAAATCCAATCAGCAGTAACCTGGGGCCACAATTAGGGAAATGGACTAAGAACTAACCCAAGAAACCTTACTTATACTTTGACTGGGGACATAGTTCAGAAGTGCCTACCTAGCATACACTAAGGCCTTGAGTTTATCTCCACTATAGCTAAATGAATAAAGAAATCTTTCTTCTAAAATAATCTTTCTTCTAAAAAGATCTTTCTATATTTTGTATTGTTGGTGGTTACAAGCAATATTTGTCAAAAAAGTTCATCAAAATATACCCTGAAATGAATATATTTTATTGCATGTAAAAGGGATTATTGGCATAAAATAAATGTAATATTTCTTTGGAATTAAAAACATATACTAATATAGTCTTCTTTTTGTTCCTAATATTACTTGTGTCCTCCAAGCTTCTTAATATTTGCCATTATTGATCATTTAAATAATCTAACTTTTGTTGTTATTGATCAGTTTTATTGTTTTCCTTTTAGTGATGACCTTTCTCTTATGCCTAGTTTCCTTGAGCAGGAAGCTGCTAACTAAGAAATTCCTCTTTTGTGAGTGGCTGGACTGCCATCTGGCTACTGTTGCTGCTATGAACACTTCATGGATGCTTGAGCATATTACAATCCAGTACAAGAAATCAATGATGGCTAAAATCTCATCTGCTGTGAAGACAACAATGTTTGCTTTAGGAGAACTTGTTCCAATTATAAGTGTTTCAGCCTGCATCAATACTGGAAATTTTCACTTTATCAGGACAAGTGACCCCTAGATGATCCTATCTATCTCCTCACTCAAGATGGGAGATGAAGCATCTCCTCAGTGATTCACAGAAATCCTGTGATTGGTAGAACTAGAAGCTGTACACAAGGGACACTGTGATTGGTGGGAGTACAATTTGTACACAAACAAGCTTCTAACAGTATTAGGGGGATGTTTTCCACACTTTGGGCTTAATTTACAAGGCTGCTCTCTCTTGTACAGTCTCCCCAATGTTGCAGTGTTACATCACTGGGACAATAAAGGCTTCTCTTGAATAGTCTTTTACTTGTGATCTATCACAGATAGTGTGCTTAGCTGGTTGCATGAAGAACAGACAAAAATCTAGCTCTTCCAGCCCTGGCAGCAGTGGTGAGGAGATGGTTAAGAGTTCCAGAGAGCCACTGAAAGCTATGAGTTTTGACACCCAAAGCTCTGAGCTCTAACACCAGAAGTCAGAAACTAAAAGTGAAGATTCTGAAGTGCTGTAGAAGTATTGGACTGTGAGAGATGGTAGAGAACCTGAGGCTTCAGGAGAGAGGTTGCAAGGTTGCAAAGAGTTAAGGGAGTGTGAGCCCCTGTCATTAGAAGAGTTTGAGAAATCCATTGAGAGTTGAAGAGCAGAGGCTCCAAAACTGCAACTTACCCTGTAGGTGTTTACACTCTAAGCCTAGAGCAATAAGCTTTTAGCTTGGAAAGTTTGGAGCCATTGGCCTCACTCTTAAAGCATTCAGTTCTAACTTTGGAAGTCCACCTTGTAAGCCTCTAGAAAGCAGAGCCATCAACACTAAGAGAGCTGTTATTTTCATATCCAGGATTTCTATTGGATAGAACAAGCCATTGGTGAGAGTTGCAGTTTTTTTTTTAAACCAATGCCTAACCATATGCAGGTGCCTATAACCCTAGCTATGCAGGAGAATGAGATCTGAGGAACATGGTTCAAAGCCATCCCAGACTCTTATCTCCAATTAACCAACAAAAAGTCAGAAATGGAGCTGTAGTGCAAGTGATAGAGGACTAGCCTTCAGTACAAAAGCTCAGGGATAGTGCCAGGGCCTGAGTTCAAGCCCCAGAACAGGCACACACACACACACACACACACACACACTTCCACTTCTCTATTTAACACAGTTGATCTTTCCCCTACCTTTTAAACATGGAATATAATATCAATGTTCCTTGTGTACTCATTCTACCATCTGAGTTATTTGAGAGTCTGATTCTTTCTCATTGATTTTTTGTCTTGTAATAGATTGTATTGTCCTACTTCTCTGTGTGTGTGGTTATATGATAATGAAGTGCTACGCATTGCAAATTTTATCCTATTGAATGCTGCATATTTCTTTATGCTTATCAATATTCTGCTTTGTTCTGGAATACAGTTTGGTACTTAGAAACTCTTTAAGAATTTTTTTGGTTCCATTTGGAGGTTTATGCTTTCTTATTTGGGATTAGAGCAATTGTTATGACTAATTTTCTCCTCCACTGATAGGACAGCCTTCCAAGCACTCTACCTGAAGGTCCATGAGTTTAGAGG